TCATGACAATTGTGAATCTTTTTACTAGCTAGCTCATTGAAAGGACAATTTTAATTAATTTAATTTTGCTCCACAAAATGGTGTCTTTGTTAAAATGATAATTTAAAGTCGTGATATAATGGACGTGAGAATTAGAATCTCTTTCATATGTGTGTGTGTGTGTGTATATATATATATATCATTTCATATAATTACATGTTATATCTAAACCCACTGAAGCCTGATGTGATATAAAATACACCAATGAAGCCTTGAATTAGAGACTGTTGCAGGCAATAAAATTATAATATATATAGTCTCTTATTAGGTGTTGATAAATTTTGTATCTACCCATTTTAAGTTGCAATATTGACGAGATCCATGTACATAGCCGACAATGTGGTGAAAAATTCACAATTTGACAATGCAATTAATCTGTACGTAGTTCATTTCATTTTGTGATCAGATACTGATGAAGCAAGGACCATTTCAGATATAAAAATAATTCCTCTCTCTGTATGTGCGCGTGTGTGTATATATATATATAGACACATTAAAGTGCTATGAAGAAACCATTATTAATTATATAATGATAGTTTTTGTTGTAAGGTATAAATAATGGTCAGCTTCCAATTAATTATATATAATTTTTGTCCCAAGGTTTGAAAATTTGGATTTTCCCATGTATTGAAGTGTCATGGAGAAATCAACACGTTATATATATATATATATATATATATATATTATTCCGTTATGATGGGTAATTTTATAAAAAAAATGTATTGATATATCCATCGAATTCGGGTAAGTGAGTGAGGGTGTAAGGTCTCATTATATTATCTCATCATGAAATTACATAGCCCCATATCTCATATGTCACTCACATATTTTCTAGTATTTTGAATTCGGAAGATATATATAATAAATAAATAAAAATAACTACAAAACGGGGAAACTGGTCACAACATATATCACAAACTAGATCGATATCCACCCTACACAACATTCCAAACCATCAAATACAAGAACCCCACTTAGCATTTACCCTCCTTGGACAAGGTGTCCATCAGGTGGTTATTAAACGGGTATCTTAAAGTACATTTCTTAAAAGTTGGCAATAGAAAAAATTATTTTAGACTTTGGATTAAATGGTTTTGTTTAATTATAATGACATTGAAAAGAGTTCATTTACCAATCTACTTGAAAACTAAGGTTGATGGAAGCTAGTTTTCTTTGCAGAAAGAAAACAAAAACTCACTAATCTGTCGTCGTAATCAAAATTGGTCAGCATAAACATGAAAGGTATATATATACCGGATCATTTTCCATTTTTGGAAGTTGAAAAAAACATAGTTGATTTTTCAGGAGGGAAAAATTTACGGCTTTCTCAAGCCAAGACAAATGCTTACTTATAAGAAAGCACTGAATTAGTGGGCACATAATATATGTCATTATACTTGATGGAAAAAAGTTATTATGGAGACCTCTCATTGCAAGTTTGCCCCTTCAACTGTTGGATTTAGACGACTTTTAATTAATCTAACGGCCGAAAAAATACACTCGCCGTGAGAATACTTCGTGAACTATATATATATATGCTTTCCTCCTCGTGACTATGACACCGCATTATCAAGCTACTTTCAATAATTATTGTTAATTTTTTTTCTTTCTTTTTCATATATAAGGTAAAACAAACATGCATTTAATGGGATATATATGAACTCTCAACCTTCTTTTTTGGGAGGAGAGATTCAAATAGAGGTCAAGTAATAATTTGAAAACAAACATGCTCTTCATGGAGTACACCTTCAGAAACTGACAATTAGTTTACACCGATATTGGTCCGAATCTGTGAACCATCGCAGTACTAGTGACCCATTAGTAGAGGCATCTAGGGACGGATCTAGTAGTCTGAATTTTAAATTTTTTACTAATATACCATTTTTTTTTTCTTCTCAATATATACCCTTAAATTATTGCTAATGCTCCCTTGAAATTATTACAAAATTTCAACCTTCCCCCCCCCCCCCCCCCCCACCTAAAGTTCTAGGTCTGCCCCACAAGGCATATATTGTAGTAATTAGATGAAAAATGAATGAAAAAAAATAATGGTAATACAATGAGAAATGATATTATTGACGACTTTAATACCCTGACTTAAAACTGACAGAGATAAAGATATAGAGGTATTATAAATTTTCAACTTAAATACACATCATTATTACTCCTGTTTGTTTCCATAACTTTCCTTATCTTTTCAATTTTCCATAACCGTATCATCTTCTTTTTCGTTTTCACAGCAACTTTCATGTTACTCATATATAAGAATTTGATTGGTACAAAAATCTAAAATAAAAACTGCAATATTTTTCAATTTTTCAATGCTTTGCCATTTTTCTTTAAATTTCTCCCTTTATTTTTGTTTATGGAGTCACATAAATCATTAGTTTTGATCATTATAGTAATGAACAAATGCCTATCTAATTATATATAGGAGATGCAATCTTAAGTATCTATTCCTTAGAGAGATGCAACGTATATATAAAACACATATACAATTTGATATATATGTTGATTGGAACTTTAATCGCCAACAAAGATATTATATTTAGATAAACTTAAAAAATAAATTAGAACTTTCTAAATAATTAATTACCTTATATTTAAAATGGGTTATATTATATTTGATACATAGATAGCTACTTAGACTCAATGAATTAATAAATTTTTATTTATCCGGATAAATAGGAGTACTCCTAATACAATATATGCCCATACTTTAATATTTTAGCTTACTATATATATAAATCAAGGCCTTGGGATGTGTTATTTCATCACATTGTCTCAATGTACCAATCAAGTGTTCATATATATGGCATTTTTTTTTTGTCTTAATTGGCCAAGGAGTGTGTAGACCGCCTTCCCCATGATGACGGTAGACTTCAAACAGTAATGACATAGCTTTGAAGATATTAAGGTTTGCTTTTTTTATTCATTTGAATCTGTTATTGTATACACAATACTAATATATACACACACACATAAGTAACAACATCCTCAGATTTCATTATTGTAACTTTTTTGTATTTTTCCCTCTCTTTCTAGTTGTTCATCTCATCCCCATTCAACAACCCTCCTCTGTTTTGGTGTTTTTTGTCATCCTTCTTAGGCCCCCCTGTGTGTGTGTGTTTGTAAGAGACAACCATGTGCAGAACGAAGAAATCTCGAGTTCTCCATAGTAGTGAGTCTAATGATCATGTCTCAAAGAATGGAGCATATACTGAAGATGAATTCTTCCATAGGCTTCTCCAACGATTGCCACTGAATGAGGTCTCTCTCTATACACATACACATATATTTATTTATGTGTTTGTTATATATATATATATATATATATATATATCAATGTGTTTACTGCTAATTTCTCGGTTTACTTCACTTTTCGTTACCTAGATTCCCACATAAGTAATTTGCGATTGATTCATTTTCCAAAAAGAAATTTAATGAGTTGACTTAATCCTATACTCCTATGCAAGAAAAATTAATAATTTCTGGCATTTCATTCATCATTTTATTGTGAAGAATTAATAATTTTGGGGTTGAAAATTGTTCTTTTCATTCTTTTGAAACAAATGCATCTCATAATAGTAGTATTATTCTCTCTTTATGTCATCTTCCGTCTTTTTAAGGAAAATGGTTGGTAGGATACAGCTCTACATAAAAATGATTCTCTCTTTCACTTGTTCCTTTGATTTTTTTTTTTTTTTGGGAAAACTCTATTACTAGTATGTGATAATCACCAATATATTTAGAGCTCCATTTGATGGAAAAATATGTAGCAGTCACTATATATACTCTCTGTCAATGACAACACCTCATTTATCTTGATAATAGAAAATGGAGTGTTGTGATTAGTTGGACCGCTACTCCCGTACTCCCGTAATACTCAATAACTTCTTGATACCAACATATATATTGTATTGACTTGGGCCTAATCATGCCTTAGTACCCGATTTTCATGGCTTTTATTATTTATTTTTGGTGATATTATATATTGAGTAATGATATCAATTCGTGTATTCTTTTTAAGTGATAATATATACTCTCTCCTTACCAATTTAATTGTTTCTCTTCTGGTTCGTCCTAAAATAATTGTTCCATTTGAAAAGTTAAAAAGAAGGTAAGTAATAATTTTTTTTCAACTTTATAACATTGTTCATTCAAACTTAAAGGATAATATAGTAATTTTAAAAAGAAACAATATATTAGTTGCATGTCCTTTTAAAAAGGTTCTGCATATTACTTTTGTGCTCCCTTGTAGCCACTCACTTGACGAGGGAGTCAAACAATTGAAGCACTTGAAGCTGACGTCATGAGGACTCGCCATATAATGGGATAATAGTCATAAGTCATTCATCCCGAGTCTTTGCATGGAATCTACTAATATTGAAGTCACATTAGAAAAATATTCATATTTTTCCACTCGATCAATTCTTCCTCACAAACGAAGCTTTTATGTTTATTCTCAATTCTTTCTATTCAAGGAAAATGTAAATTCTTCACAAAAATCACCAACTTTTGAAAATGCAAATGAGACAATAGAGGATGGCGTTTGATTGGCAACATTGATTGATCAGCAATGCCTTAATTAAATCACTCTAATAAAAGCTTGCTCAATTTGTGGACTTGACAAGAATCTCAACATGCTAATTAAAAAAAGGAGTGGGTTTCTTGGAGTACTAGCTGTGGAGATATTTGGACCACTTCTTTTTGTAGCAAAAGATTCTATAGAGTTTTGCATCGACAAATTTAAATGAAATTATATTAATGCTGAATATATTAAAAAGACCAATTATGAGGTAGATCACTAACCAACTTGCAAGTCATCCAGGATTTCTGATCTTACCACATGCATAAATCATACTATATGTGATGTGACTATTTGGTTATTGACTATTTTGGTTGTATAAGTGGATTTCAAATAGTTGGAAAAAGACTTTGTCGAGTTGAGTTTGACAGATATGTTGACTTTCTGTACGGTGCAGGTAGCAGAAGAGTTAGTGTCAGTTGGGAAGATTGCATGCCCTTTGCTAATGACTTCACTGCTCATGTTTTCGAAATCAATCATTTCGATGCTGTTCTTAGGCCGAATGGGGAAAATTGAGCTAGCTGGAGGCTCTCTTGCAATTGGTTTCGCAAACATTACAGGATTCTCAGTCATGAAAGGCCTATCTGTTGGGATGGAACCAATCTGTTGCCAAGCCTATGGAGCCAAGAGATGGTCAGTTCTCAGCCAGACATACCTCAAAACTTTCCTCCTCCTCTTATTTGCATCCATTCCCATTTCAATTCTATGGCTAAACATCGAACCAGTGTTCCTATGGTTAGGTCAGGACCTCGTTATCACAAAGGTCGCGAAGGATTACCTTGTTTTTTCCATTCCTGAATTGCTAGCCCATGCTCACCTCCATCCACTGAGGACATTTCTGAGGACTCAGAGCTTAAATTCACCAGGTTCAATAGTTGCCACTTGTGCTACAATTCTCCACCTTCCCTTAAATTACCTTCTAGTGAAGTGGTTGAATTTAGGGGTGAAAGGAACCGCATTGGCTTCTTTGTGCTACGCGTTGAACATGAACATTGGCTTGTTGGCTTATCTAGTTCTGTCAAAAATAGCACTAAAACCCTGGGTTGGCACGACAATCGCCTCCACTTTTCAAGGCTGGCAGCCATTGCTAAGTCTAGCATTGCCTAGTGTGTGCTCTGTGTGCTTGGAATGGTGGTGGTACGAAATTGTGCTGTTTCTAAGTGGCTTGTTGAGCAACCCCGAGTCTTGCGTGGCAGCGACAGGCATTCTGATTCAAGCAACAGGGTTAATGTATGTGTTTCCCTATTCTCTGAGCTTAAGCATATCACAGCGCGTTGGGCACGAGTTGGGGGCTGGGCAACCGGCTCGTGCTCAATTGGCATCGTTAGTTGGGCTAATGGTAGGAGTTGGTTATGGACTTGCGGCATTTGGTTTGAGTAATGCTGTGAGAACTGTGTGGGGCAAGATGTATACTGATGACCCACAGATTAGTACCTTGATTTCATTAGCCCTTCCAATATTGGGACTTGCTGAACTCGGAAACTCCCCTCAGACAGCTGCTTGTGGTGTCCTTACAGGCTCTGCACAGCCTAAATTGGGCGTCTGTATAAATATTGCTGCCTTTTACCTCATTGGATTGCCAGTTGCTGTTCTAATGGCGTTCACGTTCAAGATTGGTTACCGGGGACTATGGTTGGGGCTAGTAGCGTCGCAGGGTTCGTGTGCGTCCATGATGGTGTACACATTGATTCAGATGGATTGGATGCACCAAGTTAAGAGGGCAGAGGACCTGACTCTGGCTGCCGGAGACAATGATGATGTGGAAACCAATCTAGTCCCCTGATCTCCATCTCCCTATATTAAGTCAGTTTTAGGGAAAAGTATACTACTTAATTGAGTGTAAATCATCATTTTTGTCAAGAAATTGCAATGTAATTTTTCACAAATGTAAGAGAAGAAAAAAAATGAAAAGAAAAAAAAAGAGAGCAGTAGTACTACTGATAAGGCTCATTAGAAGTTTTCTAAACTCACGGGAAGCAAAAGCAATCTTCTTCTTTGCACTATTAGACAGATAAATGAGTATTACAAAAAAAAAAAAAAAAGATGTATTAGAAAATAAATGGCTGCCTAATAGTGTCAAAGCAGCAAGATTAGATTATTTAGAGAAGTTTCATTAATTTAAATATATTTATACAAATTACTTTCAAAGTTTGATTTGGATTGCTTTTACGTGGCTTTGATGATTATTGACTTGCATACATTTGTTGAATCATTGAGGAACTAGGGTGCAGACAGAACTAGAAATCTGATGTTTTTATTGTACTACAAGTGAATTGCAGGTGCTTCTTTTGACTCCACTAATAAATTTCATAGCAGAAGCAGATCAAAATCCGAATCTAGTTTCCACTCTTTTGCCTGGAATCATTCAGTGAACAAGACTAGCACTGGAAGTATTCATGTGAAACTGTTCAAAATATAACCATTGTCGTGAACCAGACCGAACCAGAAAATTATGTTGGTTAGTAATTGTATTAAATGTTCATGTAGAAAAATACAGATTTTTGTTCAATATACATAGACCAAAAGTCATCTTGGTAAGTAATTGTATTAAATGTTGGAATATATGTAGATGGTTCGTTCTTGTTTTTTAAAGCCTACAGAATTAGCAAGTGATTCTCCATTTCTCCCTCTCCATTTATCTTCCTGAAGTAATTTGTGATTTTAGTCCTCTAATCTCTAATAGAATCGGGAAAAAAGAGTTGACAATTTGAAACTTTTTTTTTTTTTAAACCTCGTTTACATCCTTTAATATAATTTATCCAACAGGAAATTTATTTTTTTGGTATTTATTTATTTATTTTTATTGCGTCTCATCAAAAGAGGCTTTTTTTTTTTTTTTTGGGTCTCATCAAAAGGATAATTTATGCAAAAGTAATATATTAATTTGTGAAGATATAAATGATACGGAAAAATATATTAATTATATGGAATTTAAATGGCCATGTTGAATTTTAGTTTTTTGTTAGGTAATATAGAACAATTACGACAATAAGAACAAATATATATATATATATATATATATATGTTAATTTCTGAAGACTTAAATGGTAGTATGTAAAAATTTGTTAATTATATGAATATTAAATGGCAGAAAATATATCTAATAGTTAAGCACCTAACCGAATTTTAGTTCTTATTTTTTTTTAAATGGAATTTTTTTTTTTTTTTTTTTCATTTTTACAAAAGCATTTCAAATATGTAGATCAAGCTGGAGAAATTGTGTTTTCATCTTTTGATAAATTCATCAAAACAAATACATAACATTTATTCTGATATTAGGCATAAATTTGTAACGTTTAATATGAAGAATTTTATACTGATGTGTAAAGATTTTTGAAAAAAAACTTAATCTAAAATGCACAACATTTATTCACCATCTCCGTTCTTCAAATTCTTATAATTTTCTTTATTTTATTTTTATTTTTTTCTTAGTTGGTAAACACACACATACCTCTACTAAGTAGGGTCTAATACTGCTAGGTCACCGGCCTGTTGGTAATTTTCTTTATTTTTAAGATTTATTTATTTGAGATTCAAAAATACCAAAATTCAAAAGTAACTGCCAGTACCTTCAAGACATTAGTGCCAAAGATCCCACCTCAATTTATAAGCTAAGAATAGCACTTTATGGTTAAAATTAAAAAAAAAAAAAAAAAATAATAATTCTAATGTGTGGTATTTACTTTATTTTATGAAAATATGAGTCTTAAAGGTATATTATTATGAGCATGAAATTGAAAATCACGAAGAAATTTTCACTACATTGTGTTATTGTAATTATTATATTAAGAGGTTGATATTTACAGCCTTGCTGCTCAACGATTATAGTGCGCAAACTTTGTGAGAAACTTTTTCCTAAGTTGTCCAGTGTTGAATAACTCCTTTTTCTCTCTTGAATTCAAATGTAATGTTGATATAATGTAGTAGTTATGGATTATTTTTTCTTTCACTAAATTTGATTTTTAAAAGCAATAATAAATAAAAAGGTATTAATGAACTTTGGAGGACATGTAAGCTTTTTAAAGTCAACATTGATAGTTATTAAGATACCATAAGATATTTCAAAAAATTTAAAATTGGACTGGCAAATGTAAAGTTTTTTTTTATTTTTTTTTCAAACTCACTATTAATAGTGTGATTAAGACTGTCCTTTTTTTTATAAAAAAAAAAAAAAAAAAAACCTGGGAGGAGGAGGACATGCCCATATTTGGCTCTGTATGTGAAATATGTGACATGCTGCTTTGTTTCGAAAAAATTAAAATTTCGTGGCCAAAACTAACAAATTTATTTTAACCTTAAAAAAATATACTTACTATATAGTTTACTCAGCTTAAAAAGTTAATTATTTGATTTTTTTTTTTTTGCATGATAATTATTTGATTAGTTATCATTTAAAATTCTATCTCCTAATTTAGGAAAAGAAAAAAAAAAAAAAGAAAACAAAAAAGACTCTTATCTCCTAAATACCCTCCTCTCAATAAAAGACAATAAATTATTTTACATTGAGACTAGTCTACACTAGTTAAATGTTAAACATGAAGATGCATTAAACGGGCAGAGCATTTAGTTTATAAGAAACATTCTCTCCAAGTTGCTTCCTTTGGCACTCTGCTTGAGCACTGCGACAAAAATGGCTTTAAAGCTACTAGTATTATAGATGCATGACAATGGTTTGTTCATATTCATTGGTTTTAAGATAAAGTTATACCATCTTTGAAAGCTATAGCAATAGTTTTCTTTCAGCATTGCTATCTGAAAGCTTTCAAGACATGGAAGATGTTGAAAGTCACTGTTCCATTCATCATCTCCAAAATCCAACATCTTTCTTCTATGAATCAACTCAAACAAACCCATGCTTTAATCACCAAACTGGGTTTCTACAATCACCCTCTTGTACTCGCAAAGCTCATCACATTCTTGTCCCTATCGCCATTGGGCAGCCTCGTCTATGCTCAAGCCATGTTCGAAGAAAGTCGTATGGACAATCCTTTTATATGTAACACCATGATTAGAGCTTATACCAAGAGTGTTTTTCCAATCAGAGCTATTTATATCTACAATCACATGCACTGTTTGAACCTCGAGTTTGATCATTTTACCTATACTTTTGTGCTCAAAGCCTGTGCCAGAGTCCTGTATTGCATTGAAGAAGATAAGAAACGGGTTGGGTTTGATATTGCCTGTAAGGGGACTGAAATTCATTGCAGGGTTGTTAAGTCAGGGTTTGATAGTGACCACTTTATACAAAATTCATTGGTGTATGTGTATTCTCGATGTGGGTTATTGGATCACGCCCGTCAAGTGTTTGATGAAATGACTGACAAGTCTACCATTTCGTGGAATACCATGATATCTGCGTATGATCAGGTTGGTGATTTTTCTTCAGCAGATTTACTCCTTGAATCAATGCCCGGTAAAAATGTGGTTTCTTGGAATACATTGATAGCCCGCTATGTTAGGTTGAATAACATTGAAGCTGCAAGGAGTATATTTGAAGAAATGCCTGTTAGAGACGCGGTTTCTTGGAATTCTATGATTGCTGGTTATGTTCAGATTAAAGATTATGCTAGGGCGTTGGAGCTCTTCGGTGAAATGCAAATTAAGAATGTGGAAGCAACTGAAATAACACTGATATCTGTTTTAGGAGCATGTGCAGAAACAGGGGCACTGGAAATGGGTAGAAAGATCCACGAGTCACTGGAAGCGAAAGAATATAAAATTGAAGGGTTTTTGGGCAATGCGCTTGTAGATATGTATGCTAAGTGTGGGAATTTGAATTGGGCTTGGGAGGTGTTTAATGTGCTGAAAATGAAACCTGTAAGTTGCTGGAATGCAATGGTTGTGGGTTTGGCTATCCATGGTTACTGTGACGAAGCTTTAGAGTTGTTTTCAACAATGGAAACAAGGCGTGATGAGGTGAGGCCTAACGGCATTACATTCATTGGTGTTCTGATTGCTTGTAGACATAAGGGTTTAGTAGAAGAGGGTCGTAGTTTTTTTGGACGTATGATGGACGTGTATAATATCATGCCTAATGTAAAGCATTACGGTTGCATGGTTGATCTTTTTAGCAGATGGGGTTTTTTGAATGAAGCACATGAGCTCATCAAGACAATGCCTTTCAATCCAAACTGTGTGTTGTGGAGGACTTTGTTGGGCGCCTGTAGGATACATGGCAATGTGGAACTAGCTGAGGATTCCTTCCAACAGCTTGCCATGTTGGAGCCTGTTACAGATGGGGATTATGTACTATTGTCGAACACCTATGCCGATGCAGAGAGATGGGAAGATGTGGAACGACTGAGGAATGAAATGATTGGCGCGAGGGTTCCAAAGAAGCCTGGCTCTAGCAATATTGAGATGAAATGATCAACTAAATTGGTCTGGTCTGTAATTGATAGATAGTTTTGGTAATAATTGTTTTTTCATTTTGTGGGTAAGGTAATAATTATTGTTTTAGACTTTTTTTCTTTTTCCTTTTTCCACTGATTTGATCCAGATTCCTGTAGTTTAGTTCCCAGAATTAGGTTAACTTATCATCAGAAAACATGTACATACCATTTATGTTGAAAAATTGGTCATTGGTCATTAACTTTCAAGGAAGTCACCCAAATAGTAATATAGTTCTTGAATTTATTATATATATCGATCTAACTCAACAGCATTTTGCTTATTTATCCTCTCAAATATCTTGGCAACTGTTGAATACCTGAATATATATTTATTTATATATATATATATATATATATATATATATATATATATATATATATATAAAAGAAAGTCTCAAGGTATACTAGTGCTTGATAATTACGTGCAATCTAAACCAGGTTTCAACCAAATAGCAATATTGTTCATGTTTTTTATGTTACTGTTGTTATTGTTATTATTGTTGTGTTACAAATGTTTCTCAAGGTCTGAAATTTTTTTTTAAAAAATAAATGTTTCTCAAGGTATGTATGGCTTATTATTGCTGTCATATAATCCCAAGCAAAATAGGTGATTACTTATGCTTCTAAGGGTCTGTTTGGTTAAACACAAATTTATGATGGAAAGTAAAAGTGAAAAAAGTGAAGTGATGGAAAATAAAATCAAGTTTCTAATACATATTTTGTTAGGAGGAAAATTTTACAAGAAAAGTGTGAGAAAATATTATTTTATTAGTTTGAGAAGTATGAAATATAAAAGAAAATGATTGTACTTACCAAAATTATCCTTGTGATTTTAAATAATAAAAATAAAATAAATTTGTGTTACTCCCCTTACCCAATTAGTTATATTCATTTTAAAATACAAATAAATAAATAATGATAATAATGAAAAAATATTTAATTATTAAGAATTATAATATAAATATTTATATTAATTTTTAAATTATTTATATGTGAGAAAAGTTTTAACAGTTAATTTTAGAGGCTTACTTCAAAAGTACATGATAACATAAATATTTAAAAAGTTTTTTCCATAATTGATGTTCTAAGTTATTGTCATATACAAATATATTAGAAGTCGATATATACAAATCATCAATTGTCAAGAGGTATAATAGAAAGTCAAAATATAGAGTCACAATTTTCACGAGAAATCATTTTTCAGTGTTTTATATGAGAAATATTTGGAGAAAAATCAACAACTTGCAAAAGGAAAAAAAAAAAAAAAAAAAAAATTACTTTCTTTCTAATTTTGGGCTTCCCTGACCAAATTTTTAAAAAATTTAAAAATTTTTCTTTTCTTTTTATTTCCTTTCCTTTCCTTTCCTTTCCTAGTACTTCCATCTAACTAAAAGACACACCCAACCCAAGGAAATTGAACAAGTAACGATATTTTTGGTGATAGTAATTTGTCCTAACTCATAATAGTTAGTTACTCCGTAAATACATTGACGAGAGAATTGAATGACAAAAGCGCAAAATCAACGCATGCTTTGCTGGTCCAAGCAAACTCCCGGTGGAATAAGCAATTCTCAAAAGTCTACTAACGAGTACATCTCCGCATCGTCACCGTTGGACGATAGTGAGAGGTGTAAATACAGAATAAATCAACGGCAAATATTTCAGTCAAACGTACACCGTGTGATATCATATCACCACAACATTTCCTAGAAAAGAAGAGTAACTAATGACCCAAGAGTCAATGACCCTGTAGACAACAAACACAGTAGACTGGCAGTATAGAGAGATAGAGTGCGTACGGTAGAGAGATCTGGAGGATATGCAGAGTAGGTGGACACTTCATCGTTGAGAGAGAGAGAGTGTGTGTGATGGATTTAGGGATTTGAGATTGGTTTTCAAACTACTATGCAAGTTTGGAGTTCGTCAATGATCAAATAGTATTCAACTTTCTTTTTCGTCCAATCTGATTAACCCTAACAGGCAATCGTATCTGTGTCTTGATTATTGGGTCTGCTTTGGATAAAATCGGGATTGTAGGGCTTCAGTAGTTGTCAATTGGGCTGATGAAATGGAAGAAAATGCATCGGCATTTCATACAGCGATTAGTTCAGTAGAGTCACTGGGTAGGGGCTTCGATGTGAACTTCGATACCAGATTGCTATATTGTAAAGGAGTATCAGGGTCTAGGGTTGTTGAAATTGATGAAGAACAAACTAAGGATCTATGGCTCTATGATGGTATGGTTGTGCCCAATATTTCCAAGGACATTAGGAATTCGCAGGAACCGATTGGCCGTGATAGTTCAGGGGTCTGCAGTTTTCATGAGGTATGTCATTGTTTCCCTCTCTTCCAATCTTATTATGTAACCCTTTTTGAGTGTGTATTGAATACAGGGTTATACAGTATGTTATTTGCTCATGTGTGTGTCTTTTTCTTATGCAATCATATCCACTTGTATGAATTATTTGATGCGGCAAAGTTGATGAAATAGTTGAATTAATGTTTTTTTTTTCTTTTCAAAACTTAGTACTAAATTCAGCCGTTGTCTCATCCAAGCAACTTTACTGGCTTACGAAATCCAGCTGTAAGTCCACATGTGCAAGCTTGTTGCTGGCTAGTCAGGCTTGAACTGCACCAAGTTGGCTTGAATAGTCACACAATTCGTCCAAAGAGGCCCCGCTCTCAAGTTACGCATGCAAATTTGCGATTTGGGAGCGAATTCGCATAAAATTCGCGAATTCAATTTTTGCAATCGCGATTTTCATACTAGTTTACTTTATATAGCTAAATTTGTTAGTCACAGTGATATGGAACACCTATATTACCATATATGCATTTATTACTTACACTATTTCTCAATATAGACATTAATTACTTAAATTTCAGTATGCCGATGTATGTTGTTGCTATACTACCATATATATATATATATATTAATTATACATGTTTGAAAATATACTATTAAAAAACTTTCCAATTAGAGAATGTTACAAATAAATCACGCATCTATTAGTGACAAAAGTTAGCTTATTTATTACATATATCATTAATGGAATAAATAATCATAAATATATTTGCATATGGATTTAAATAAATAAAAATATATATGTTATGACCTAATATAATTTTATTTAAACTTAATATACAGACGCTCTCAAGACGCTCTTGCTCTCAAAAAGTTTAGACTTTGACGCTTTCTCTTTCACTCTAGCTTTTGCTCCCACACTCGCTCCCGCTTTGTGTGAGTTAGGGCTTGATAGGCTCTTAAAATGTTATGCCATTACGGTTTGGCAATTTATAGGTGTGAGCATTGAGTTTTGAGTCTATAGACATGTGTAATGGTCAAATTTGGTTGATGAACAAGCATAGTTAGGCTGGTCAATTGACCGTTGAGTAAGCTTGGCTCTTTCTTTGTTTTGAGTGTTTTTCTGGAAAAGTACAGCTAAATAAGCTCACACAACCTTATGGTTGGGTAAGGCTTGTCTCATTTAATTGCAAACAATTTTTCAATGTAAAGTTAAATATTGAAACTTAAGTTCCCAATAGGTGCATGTTTGGGATTAGTTAAATAAATAGCTTTATGGGATTTTGATCTCTCTTAACAAAATTCAGGAATAGATGTGGGAGTTGATGGAAAAATAAAGTAAGATGAATAAATCTTCAGCAGAACTCTATCTTAATTGTGTCTCCTCAATCTTCCTGGCCTTCTCTTGACTGAATGCAGCTTAATGACTTTGCAAAAACGGAAGTGCACAGAGAGACGATGTACATATATATTTTTTTATGCATGTTTGGGTTGTAATGGTTTTCTTCACCAAAAAACGGGTTTTTTGCATTAGTGTCTATATCTCTTTTGAGAACTGACAACTCATGCATATATATGTGTGTGTAAGAATATGGGGGTGGTTTGACACATCCATATCAGCTAACCACTTCCTCCACTACAGTAGTTTTTATTCCAATGGCCACTAAAACCTTTTTCAACCACATTTCTCTCATCCACGCGACTCCATCTCATTCTAAGTGGTATTGGGATGAGAAGTTCTACAATACATCGGGGATACCGTACCTCCCGGGGTCTCCCAGCTGTTGGATCATTCATCAAGTGGGCCCCACCACCACATCCAACAGTTGGGACACCCGGGGGTATAGTACCCCCGTGGAATGATTGCAGTCTAGAATTTTCCGTAATTAGGAGAAGTTCTACAATACCCCCGGGAAAAGGAATTTGACCAAATCAAGTTTGTCAACCAACTTGATTTATTGCACATCTGTAATTCCTTTCTTCACACGAATACATGTACACAAAGATAAATGTTAGTAAATAAGCAAAATAATTATAAGATTACCATAAAAAAATAACAAACAAATATAGATTTATATACATGGGGTTCAAAATTTTGACCGCCCAAAAATAAATAAAGTAAATTTGAGGGTTGTTTGACCTCTCAATAAACGAGGAATGAATTTAGGGAGGGACTGCGGGAGCAAGGAATTGCTTGTTCTAAGGAGGTTCAAAGATTTGAAGTGTGATAGAATCTGCTTATGTATTTTTTAAATTACTAATTTAGATTAATCATTGTATCACCATGGATATATTGATGAAAAATTGAAAAAGGAATTATGTTTATAATATCATTTCTCAGTGACGGAGCTAGGAATTCAATTGAGGGAGAGCAATGTTGAAGAACAATAAGATCAAATATATATATATATATTTACCCCGGGCTTAAGTTAGTTTGTATTAGCATTTAATATATCCTTATTTGAAGAAGTAAAACATATATCATATGTAAAGCATTTAAAAGTATGAACAATAAGCATATTTTCTTAAGATACCTATAGGTTAGGGTTATATTTTCATAGCTAACCAGATACTTTGAAGAGGAAATATATTGACTCAAACAAATTCACCTCGATATTGCTACTCGAAGAAAGTATTTATATAAGAATGGTATTCGAGGAACGCCAAGTTCGTGGTGTAAAGCTCTACAAAATATCAGAAGGGTAAGCTCAGGGTAATAATCAGCATAATACTCTTCCGCTAACTTGGCTCTTTAATTTAGTTTGTATTAGCATTTAGTATATCCTTATTTGTAGTTGATCTTGCAAATGGCACCGTTCATCCAATAGTCAGGCATGATGGCACATCATTTACATAGCAGATTTGGTTAGATTCGATTCTCATTGGAAACCGCAAAAAGCCTTTTTGTCAGTCCGTCAAGAACAATAAAGAGCAGAAAAGATTAGAAATCCGGATAAAGAAAACTTTTATACTAATTTAGTAACACCTCAAATTATGACGTATAGAAGAACTACAACTTCATCTATCATTTCCTCCACGCTAAATATTTATCCGGATTTCTAATCTTTACTACTCTTTATTGTTGTCGATAGACTGACAAAAAGACTTTTTGCGATTTCCAATGAGAATCGAAACTAACCAAATTTGCTATGTGAATGATGCGCCATCATGCCTGACTGTTGGATGGACTGGGCAACTGCAAAGAAGGATATATTAAATGCTAATACAAACTAAATTAAAGAGCAAAGTTAGTGGAAGATATGCTGATTATTACCCTAAGCTTACTATTATCATATTATGATATTTTGTAGAGCTTTACACCACGAACTTGGCTTTCCTCGAATACCATTCTTATATAAATACTTTCCTCGAGTTGCAATATCGAGGTGAGCTTGTTTGAGTCAGAAAATATTTCCTCTTTAGAGTATCTGGTTAGCCATGAAAACATAATCCTAACCTACTAGTATCTTAAGAAAATATGCTTATTATTCATACATTTTAAATGCTTTACATGTGATATATGTTTTACTTCTTCCCTCACACACTGTGCACAAGCATTGTGCTTAACGTGTCCCAATATTACCCTTTAGGTAAATAGGGGAAGTATTAGGCCTAGTTCGCTCAAAGAATGAGTGAACAATGAGTGGCGAAGCCGAACCAACCCCGCTCGAATCACCAACCGGTTGAAGGGTACTCTTTCCTAGGGGAGAGAGAGAGTACCTGGAGGTTTGAACATTCAAATTTCACGTCCGCCCCTACTCTATTTTGGTTAAACAATAATGAATTTAGGGAGGGACTGCGGGAGCAAGGAATTGCTTGTGCTAAGGAGGTTCAAAGATTTGGAGTGTGATAGCATCTGCTTATGTATTTTTTAAATTACTAATTTAGATATATTGATGAAAAATTGAAAAAGAAATATGTTTATAATATCATTTCTCAGTGACGGAGCCAGGAATTCAATTGAGGGAGGGCAATGTTGAAGAACAATAAGATAAAAAAATATTTTTTTTATTTTTTATTTTAATTTGAAGGTAGAATTTTTTGAACAAAATTATAAATATAAAGACATAATATTGATCAGTAATATTTTTGTTTATTACATTTAGTATTGGTTCTCTATGAGTTTTTATATTGAAGAAAATTTTAATACGTGTTAAAGAGAAAAACTATGTATATTTTAGTAGCACAACTAATTATACAAAACAAATTCAAATGTGTGCATGTGTTCTAGTGTATTTCTCATTTCCTTTTACAGTGAATACTATAAACAATTTTCCAACAAGTCTTTGTATTGGGAACTTGAAATATTTTCAGATGATTAGATTAAACCAAATAAATAAGAAAATTGTGCGCTTGCTTAACAATTTTATAACGGCATGATTTCCATGTATCATGTACAATAAGGAGAAGTAGACAAGGATTTATTTATTTTATTTTACCTTCTCAGAGGTTGTGATGGTTCATTAAAAAAAAAAAAACAAAAAAAAACTGACATATAGTCGTGTAGCATTGGAAAAGAGATGATTAAGTATGGTGATATGGAGTGTCTAGTTATCAAAGAGATTAAATTGGATGCTAAAGATTAAAAGTTGGGATAATTATTAGAATTCTAAAAGTTTATTTACACAAAATGAAACTATAATTTTTTTAAGAGGGGGCGGTTTTAGAATTTCAAAGTTCTATGTATACATAAAGAAAAAATTTAAAATTTGAGGGGGGCACTTGCCCGTCCTAGGCATGCTATCAAGGGAGGTTCAATACAAGTGGAGGCCTAAGGCAAAACTTCTGGAAGAGGATATTAATGTAGTAATATAATAATATTAATTATTTGTCCATATTAAAAAAAAATTGTTTATAAACAACAATTCTTGTTTCTTGAGATACAAAATTATTTATTTTGTTGAAAAACTTGATTGTATATTTCCTAAATTTTCATGTAATTTTTTTTTTTTGGTAATATTTTGTTTATAATTTAAGAGATTCTTATTTTTTAAAAATGGAATTATTTACCTAATCCCTTATTATATCTTCTCAGAAATTTTTATCCAAATTCACATCTTGCAAGTAAACATGTTTATAGATAAACTATAGTAAGTTTAAAATAAAAAAAATGTAAATTAAAGAAAAGTAGAACCAGGCTAATTTCTAGTGCTATTGAAAGTGTTTGAATTTATTAAATTCCTCACCTCTTTTATAACTTTAAGGAAATTTATGAATTTTTAAATGCAAGATTTTCTCACATAGGAAAGATAAAGATAATTATCAAATCCGTTTAATCACATCAAAAACATGAAGAGAAATTTAGAAGAATATGGAAAATCATGAAATTGATAGATATAATTGAACTGTAATGTAGAACAATAGAAAACGTGTGAGAATATAAAAAGTTGTGGTGGGGCCTAAGTAAAGACACCATAGATTGAGGGCCTTAGGCTACCGTCTAATTGGCCAAGTGGTTGAGCCGGCACTACCTGCTATAGTTCCGTCCCTGGTTTTTCTCTTTGGCTATAAATTGGCTAGAATCAAGTAGTTGGAAATTGGGCATCCTTTCAATCACCGCAACCATACCCCTCTCTCCACCTAAGAAATCTCAAATTGGTTTTAAGTGAGTTTGAGCTTTCTGTGGTGATGGAGCTTTGGTTTTGTCAGAAGAGTAATGTGAGTCTTAGAAGTTTCTAACTAAGGAGCATTGAATCTCTGTTTTGAGCTGTGAATATCACCTGCTATACCTGATATAGAAGATTTCAACTCAAGTTGGTCATGATTACCAATAATTGGTGAGGTTATTGCATAGGTTGTTAGACACTATATATATATTTTAAAAAAATCGAGAGATTGCAGAATAAATAAATTACTTGCCTGAAGGATGAAATGAGGACTAATCCTTGCATAGCCTTTTCTTTGCCATTTTTAAATTAAGTAGCATGTAGGGCACGCTTGATTTTTTCTAATGCACTAATTGTTCTAATATACTTTTCACTTTAAATGACCACAGATGGTGGAGTATTTCAATACAAAAGCTAATCTATCAGGCCATATTCCTATTGGTAGCTTCAATGCTGCATTCAGCTTTTCCGGTTCTAAGCATATTGATGCTGCAGCAGTAAAGACCCTTTCCATGGATGGTTTTTTCATCCCACTTGCTAAAATTCAGCTCATAAAATCTCAGTTAGTGTTGCAAGGAAATGTCAGAAGAGCAGTCCCAACATCGTGGGACCCACCTGCTTTAGCAAGGTATCAAAATATTTATAGAAAATGTTTGCTATTATAGCTTTTAATTATCTCTAATAAAAGTCTTTTTCCCCCATGACAGCTTTATTGAAAACTTCGGTACACATGTTATTACATCTGTAACTATTGGTGGCAAGGATGTGATTTACGTTAAACAGCACCGGTCATCGCCTTTGTCAGCCATGGAGTTAAAAAATTATGTTCAAGATATTGGAAATCAGAGGTTCTCCAGCATTGATAGTCATACAAGTTTTCAGGTCTATTGAAATACAGGGATAAGGCTAGTTCCATAATGTTTCTTTTTCTAATTCTTGAAAGGGAATCTTTTATGGTTTTTACTCTCTCTTATATCTTTCTTCACCCCATGATCATTTACCATCCTCTCTCTCTCTCTCTCTTCCTTGTATTTTTGCAGGGTGTTGATGCTTCTTTATTCAACAGCCAAGGGATATATCCTCAACCCACTAGTGCACCTTATCTGGCCGGGAATGGAAAAGAAGTATGTAGAAGTCTTTATCTTGTATTTTTTAAGTTCTTGGAGTTGATAGGCTTATGTCCTGGTTATATTGTCTATTTGATGAATTGTTGCTCGATACTTTTTTGGGGATTTATCAATAATCTTTTTTAATGAAATTTCAATAATAATAAAAAAGTAGAATTTTTACTTTTGTGCTTTCCTGCCCTAGTTAGAGTATAAAATCTGTGTATGGCTTACTTTAATTATCTCAACTTATGGATCTACTAAAATTCATTGTCTATGTGCAATATTTTTTGGGCACAATCATAGATTTTTTTCCCTCTACATTTAAGTATAAAAAATAAGTATAAGGGCGAGAGCTGAGGATTTGATATTCTCTCAAATATTCATGTTGAGAATCTGGAGGGCTTCCTTGTCGCAGTTCATTTAATTTGAACTACAAGAGGCAGAATGTATGGTTGGCATGTCCACTTTGTAGTTACTGGTACAGGTAATGGATTCCTGTTAGAATAATAATTCTATGTTGGCTACTTATCAAAAAAAGAAAAGAAAAAATCTATGTTGACAAATTCCAAAAGTTAAGTTTTACAGTAGGGTGTGTGAATAAAATGTAGTGGGATCTAGTTGGTGATTGGTCATGAATGCTTACTGGTGACCTTCTTAATGAAGTTGAAGGTTAAAATGAGTATTGAAAAGAATGGACTATGGAGATGAAAGCTACATCGGATTATCTTAACAAAGTGCTTCATGAGGTTCAATCACAGTAGGAAAAGTTAAGTGAGAATTTAGGAAATAGGTTGATAAAGACATAGATATGTTGGATCACCTTTGACCTAGGTTTTGGAGATGAATAAAATTCGTATATAGACCTAGGATGATTTGCACTTTTTGAAAAATGTTTTAAAGTCTTTTCAAAATAATAAATATGTTTTGAAAACCTTGGAACATGATCTGAGAGAGCTTTGAAGCAATATTTAAATAGGGGTTTTGTTCAATCAAATTCTTACTTATGTCTTATTTTATATTTCATTCCATACTTGTAGTTTTGAGATAATCTTTATATAGTCAGAAAGTAGATTCAATAAGTTTTCCAACGATATATTATTAATTTAATTTCGAGTTTGGTTGTCCACTCAATGAACCCCCGGAAAGTTAAGTCTTCTGTGCAGACTCAGAAAAATTTCCAGAATGAAAGTTGTACTGGTAGAATGTTTTATTCTACAGTTGAACTTGGTTCAGAATGGTCTTGTACTGATTGATCTTCCACTCTTATTTGTAGAACTTGCCCAGAGTCAGTTTTAACACGCTTTTTATATGATTCAAGTCCGAAGTGGATTTGAACTCAACCAAAACATGTCCAATACTTGCCTAATTGATTTCTAATCATTCTTGGACTTGAATAAGGGTTTAAAGCTTATTTAAAGAGTCTAGGGTTCACATAAATTAGAGAGAAAACACACACATAAGAGCAGAGAAGAGAAATTTTAGAAAATCCCTAGTTTTCGTTGTAGGTATCTTTAGATTTTCTTCATTACATAGTTGGGATTTGATTAGAGATCATTCATTCAACTTTGTGATTGATCTGAGAGCATGGAGCCTGATTGATTTCAATATATCAACTGAAATCATCTTCAAATTCATTCAATTTGGATTTAACGTCAAAGGAGCATTGGAACAGTAGATTGTGGAAGTGAGTCTGAGGCGTGCAGCCACTCTACTTGTGCATGTTTGAGTTGGTGACTAGGAGTAAGTCTGAGACGGTGAGCAACCTGGTCTTTGCAAAGGTGATTTGAGCATAAGTTTGAGTCAAAGTTGGTCTAACTTTTTTTCGACATAGTTGATTGCTTTGCTCTAGATTATGGTCTCATAATTTTCCCTCACTAAGGTTGTCTATCTTACTCTTTACTTTGTTTCTTTTATTGCATGTGTGTGATTAACTGGTTGATTAATTGGACTAACTTATCATTTTGGTCATTTTCAAAGTTAAAATCAATCAAAAGAACAAATAGACCTATTCACATTCCTCTAGGTTTCATAAGCTTCCGCTGGTATTACACTCAAGTGTTATCATAATTTAGCATTTGGTATCATTATTGCCTTCAATTCCATGTGATCAAAGGCAGTTTGGGGAAACCTTTAGACATTTCCAAGGGGATTTTTAGAAAGGTTTATGTTGTGCTTGGTGTTGAAAAATGTTGTGAGGGCCTATGTACAAGCTTGTTGGGCAAGTTCATGGTGACTTTAGTGTTAGCTCAAGGTTGCCTATCTCCTTGTTTTACTAGGTGAGAAAAGAGACGTTGCAACACCTAAAGATGACTGAGGCTTGGTGATGGAGATCAAGATATGACCAGCTTGCATTCACGTGTATGCTGGGAGTAGGAGAATTAGGGTTATCATTTAGTTATATTTCAGTAATCACAATTTGGGTTATCATCTATTTATATTTTCAGTATTTGCTTTCTGGTGTCAAATTTCAGGGTTTGTTTCTAATTTAGTTACTTTGTAGTGTCAAAATTTAAGTATTATTTCTATTTGTTTAGAATTTAAGGTTTTCTAATTTATTGCAATTAGGGTTCACTTTGGTTTCCTACATAAAGGTTGCATCTTGGACATTGATTAGGGCTTCACTGTGAGTGTTAGCTCCTTGCAGAGGCAGCTATTGTGTCTCAAGGAAGTTGAGCATTTTTTGCTCAATCTCTCTAACTTTTGATGCATGCGGCATTGTGTTTTTGGAGGCTGGATGGATGTATTTGCATGGGTGGTATACAAAAGAATTTGTTCATTGTCAGGATTTTGATGCCACAGGCTTGCTTGATTTTCTATTGCAAACTCACTATACATGGGTTTGTTGAACTATTATGAAGCCTTTCACTCAGAACAACTTTGAATTATTTTGGATGTAGGATGTTACAGTCATTTTCAGACGGCGGGGAGGAGATGATCTGGAACAAAGTCACATCCAGTGGGCAAGGACTGTTCGGTCCTCTCCAGATGTCATCGAGATGTCATTTTCTCCACTCACACTTCTTCTTGATGGAATCTCTGGAAAGGAGCATCTGACTCGTGCTATAGGCCTCTATCTTGAATGTAAAACATTTAACTTCATCACGTGTGACTTGGAAGCCTTATTTGTTTTTACCCCCTTTTATGCAACAGTAGCAACTACAATAACAATGGTAATTCTCGGGGCTAACTTGAAAATTATTTTGGATAAATGTGCACAGACAAACCTCAGATTGAAGAGCTGAGATATTTCCTAGAGTTCCAGATCCCTCGGATATGGGCTCCTGTACAGGGAAAGCTTCCTGGCCAGCAAAGAAAAGAACCTGTTTGCCCATCTTTGCAGTTCAGCATTATGGGGCAAAAGCTTTACATCAGCCAAGAGCAAGTATGTTTTTGTGTGTCGCAACCTATTAAATTCTGTCTATTTTATCCTGTTCAATAACTTGTGCTTTTGAAAGATGGATTTCACAATTATTTTACTTGATTCTTCTGCATAACACTGAGCTATTTTCATTTTACTGAGTTGTACAACTCAATGCATGTGTTTAGGCTTGCAGCTCTTTGTTGCAACCTTTGACGTTCAGAAAATAAAATTAGTTGGGAAAAATAGCTATACTGGGACTGCATATCATGCCAGGCACCATCAGGTGGATAGGGGTTGGCCATGGATGTGAACCATTTGAATTGGATGAGCAGTATAGCTTTAATGAAGTTAGATGTGTTTTCCTCGAGACTTGATAAAAATTTGACCATTTCAAAAAGCAGCATGTAACATCATTTTTATAATCGTGACAATGATTGATAATCATCATCCACCAGCTTGTGTGTTCAATGACATCTGTTACAAACCAAAATTACATCATGTCCGTAGGATTCACAAAAGGTCCTCTTATGAATTTGATTGGCTGAAAGGAACCTCATCATTAGGCTAAACATCTTTATTTTACATTTTTTTTGTTGCTGCCGATATTATATCACAGGGAAACTGTAATGGGTTTGGTTGGTTATTTATATTTGTGAGTGGGTTCACAATTCCACAGATGTGAGCTCAAGTTGGTTTAGGTTTTTCAAAGAAATCCATATTGGGTCAGTAAATAGTATTTTGTTATTTCCTTTATCTTACTATCTTTTGGCTTAACATGACATGAGTGCAGATATCTGTTGGACGTAAGCCTGTTACTGGTCTGCGGTTATGTCTAGAAGGATCCAAGCATAATCGGCTCTGTATTCATCTTGAACACTTATCGTCCCTTCCAAAAATCCTCCAACCATACTGGGACTCTCATGTAGCAATTGGTGCTCCCAAATGGCATGGCCCTGAAGAACAAGATAGCCGCTGGTTTGAGCCAGTGAAATGGAAGAACTTCTCTCATGTGAGCACTGCGCCAATTGAGTCTCCTGAAACCTTCATAGATGATTTCTCTGGCGTGTACATAGTCACAGGTGCTCAGCTTGGGGTCTGGGATTTTGGGTCGAGAAATGTATTGTATATGAAGCTCTTGTACTACAGGCTACCGGGCTGCACAGTAAGAAGAACGTTATGGGACCATTCCCCGAATGAGAAGTCGAGAAAGCTAATCACTACTGGAAATAATGCTGGTGACTCAAGTTCAGGATTGAGGGAAAACAATGTAGCCAACAAGTTGGCAAAGTTTGTTGATATGTCCGAGATGACTAAGGGGCCGCAAGATCCTCCAGGTCATTGGTTGGTAACGGGTGGAAAGCTTGGTGTGGAGAAAGGGAAAATTGTTTTGAGAGTGAAATACTCCTTGCTAAATTATTGAGTTTACTGGTAGGGTTTCTGATGTGCACGGCCTTGGATTTGTCAGGTAGAAGTGCTGTTTTGGATTTATATTGGGTTCTTGTTCATCTACCATGTGAACTGTTGCAGTGTGATGAACTGAGTTGAATGAGATGAGGACATGTCCTTGGTGGCCTTGGATGTATGGAATTCTTTCCAATTTTGTTGGCAATTTCTGTTTCCTTGGGAAATCTTGTGAATTTTGTAGAAATGTCATCTTCTACTTTTACCTCTTAAACTGTATATATGTCCACAGAGAATGGTACTCTGCATTTTATAATTTACCCTTTTTTTTTTTTTTTGGGACTTTAGAAGTGGTGGCTTGTAGCACAATTGTGATGTATTTTAATGATAAACGTAATAATAATAATAATAAGAATGTACTTGTAGGTTGGTGTAGACCAATAATTTGTGCTGTCAACCTTCGGTAGCACCTCTTATCTCATTCAAACCTGTAAACATAGCATTATATTTATTTAATAATTTTGTTATTATTTGTGCGAACAACATCAAGAGTGGCAGTGTTTATTCCATGTGCTCAAACTTATATCTGAATTACTTTGGGCAGGGCATCTAATTTTGCAACCATGCAAAATCTGACGTGAAGTCATGGGGTCATTTCTCTCCTGGTTACACTTTCTCAAATATGCATATTGTTGGGAATATGTATATATATATATATTGTTTTTATTAATATTAGGAGTGCATACCGACCGGTTTGGATCGGATTGGAAGTTTTTTTGAACCAAATTATTTATAACGGTTTCACTATTTTTAAAATTAGACCGAACCATAATGCCCATAGAACCAAATCGCAAAAAACTGATTTGGTTCGTTTAAGTTGATATCCTTTTCTTTTTTTTTAAAAAAAAAAAGCAAAATCTCTTATTTTTCCCTATATATAATACAAGCGTTCCCTGTTTACCATTTACGAGGTATTGGAAAAAGAAATAAAAAAATTAACTCAAAATTTCAAAAAACAAGAGAGATCAAGTACGAAATAGTTAATGTTTGAAGTCATCAATTATCATAATTATTTCTTGTCATGGCTAAAAGTATATAGACTTAGTTCACTAATCACAATGAAGTTGAAAAGAATATATATATATATATATATATATATAATATAAGTTATATAACTATTCGGTCCGAGCCGGGACGGTCTAGCAGAACCTCAAATCAGGACCGAATCGAAAAATTATGGTTTCATAATTTTATGCCCAGGACCGGACCAAACCGTAATACAATTAGCCCAAACCACCCTGTTCAGTTTGGTCCGGTTCGATTTTTTGATTTATCAAATTTTTTGAACACCCATAATTAATATCTAGGTATTTCGTAGCCCATTTGTTACAAACCCATCTCCTCAAAAGGGACTTAGAATTCTAACCAAATTTGGGCATATATCCATAGGTGTTTCCTAATTGATAAGGTTATCATTTGGTAAAACCCATCTCCTCAAAGCGACTGAGAGTTTTAACCAAATTAAAGCATATATCCATAGGTGTGTCCTAATTGGTAAGGTTATTTTTGAATTTTAACTCGTGTAAATGTAGTTTTTCTGGGAAAAAATAAAAAATAATTACAAACACCGACCGCTAAGAGAGGAGGACGATTGCGCTTAGTCGAGTGTGAACTCAAATACATGTAAAATTTATTTATTTATTTATTAGGATTAATTACATTCATATCTACTGAAGTTTGCTATATTGACAGTCATATGATAGTTAGTTCATTTTCGAACAATGACACCCCTTGTCATATTTTGAAGCCAAAAAGAACCTTAAAAGAGGTGAAATGTCTACTTTACCCTTTAATATTTTATTCATATTTTGATCTAAAATATCCAAACCATTACGTGACCAAAATACCCTTGTTGGAAAAAAATAATAATAAATAAATTAACCCATACATCGTACTTTCTCTCTCTAACCTCTCAATCTCCTCAATCGCCGCCACCACCTCCATCACCGTCTACCCAGTCCCTCTCCACTCACCGCCACCACCGCTCACCCTATATATGATTCACCTTGCTCCTGCAAATAAAGCAAAAACGGCTTCTATTATATGTATGCACATATATATATACTCACACACACATATACCCACCATCACCATGGCCACTCCCACTTCCTCCCACCGTGCCCACCTTCTATCCACCCTTACACTATCCATCATCGCCACAACCCAATCCTTCTCTCTCATCCACCACTAAAATCCACCCTATATCGATGTCGCCGGCTTTGCGCAGCACCACTGCCTCCATCCTCCTCCTCCTCGGTGTCACCGGCCGATTGCGAATTTTGTTGTCAATTCCAACAGATCTTATAGTTTTTTTACTTGGGTTGATTTCGTGTTTTCTTAGAGATCGCTACTATTTTGGGAGTCGCAGAGAAATATTGCTAATAAAAAATTTTGGGTAAGTATTGGTGGCCCAAGGCGGTACTGGTGGTGGCGGTGGAGTAATAAAGCGTATCCTATGGAATTGAAGATCACGGATGAATGTTTGTCTCCAATTTTCAGCCGTTATTATTGGATTGGGTTTTCCAATTGAGTGCTAAGATTATTGATTTCCCCGGCAACTCCGCCGTTGCCATCTTCGGCGTTCATATGCAGTACGTTCCTGGCCACGAAAGATTTTCTCACCCTTCTTCGGTTTGAAGCCCCTCTGTTGCACATGAATTAACCAAAAATAAATAAATAAAAAATAAAAAATCCAAAATCAGAACTGAAATTTAAGTTAATAAATATTTGGGATCCAATACAAAAGCAGTAGTTGATCGTTAATTAAGGTTCGGAGACAAAGTAAATGATGTTCAGTGTCTATGCAGAAATGGAAGATAATTTGACGAAAGCATAATTTGACAGTAACACTGTTGCTACTGGAATTCTAAGATAAAAAGGGTGGCTGATTTTTTTTTTTGGATTTTCTTTCTGTATCTATTATATATTTAAGTATCATTTTCTTTTTGTAGCTATATATATATATATAATGCAATTGTATGGTTTATATGTATATATAAGAGTGATATGTATACCCCCAAATGCCACTCACCATCGATTCCTTCACCTTCTTCATGTAGGGCATTTTATTATTATTATTTTTTAATCAATGGGCTTTGGATTTTGCAGAGATGATGATGTCGAAAGTTGGTGATAAGAGTCTATTGTTGGTCTTCAGATTTAATTACAGTTAATGGTTTCACTTGATATGTTTTATCTCTCTCTCTCTTTCTCTCTCTCACACGCGTATATATATTGCTTCTGGTTCTTTATTTTTGCGGGTTCTTTGAACCTAAATCAAGTTGATTTTCGGACACACAGTGTGTATATATAGAAAGAGAGTATAGAGGGTTAGTTTTGTCCATTAAAATAATTAGGAAGGTTAAAGTGGTAATTTTATTATTCAAATTAGTCAATTCAAAAATCAAAAGGTAATAGGGTCAATTTACTTTGTATAAGAGGTTATTAGGGTGGTATTGTTAACTTTATCAAATTTAAAGGATGTCATTGTTTAAAAATGGACCAATTTATATATAATTGTCATTATATTAAACCTCAGAAAATGTCATTGTAATTAATCCTATTTTTTAACTTGACAAAGAAACTGTCCAACGGCACTTACAAAAAACACCATAACACATGCAACTACAGAGTATCACCAGATGCAAGCAAATATTATATACAATTTCTTGAAGTTTCTCTTGGTCCTCTTGGACCTTATCATTTTGCAAGTGGGTCCCATTGATGGGTTGAGCGTTAATCCCTGTTGTTCAATTTGTTAAAAAATAATATAATAAAATAATATAAGGAATAAATGGCATTTCTGATGTGTTATTTAAAGAAAAGAGTAATATTGCGGCCGAAAATCAGAGCAAATTATTTGCTATGTCTTTAAACGTTGGTCCTATTAAAATTTTACTTTAATGTATCTAAAGGATATAAGATGTTGTTGAGCCTAATCATATTAATTTTGAAAATAATTTCTTTTATAGTTAAAGTATAATTAATGGATTTGGAGTGCAGTGGAGTGAGGAAGTTGGAGATCAATTCGGAGTAAGTAGAGTCCACTTTACCTGTAGTTATACTCCCATTAATCGATCTTCATCCTTTTATATTCCTATTAATCGATCTTCATCCTTTCTCTCTTGTACAAAAATATTCAATTTCTTAATGAATTGAGATATTTTCCTATACAAAGTTTTGTAGAAAAGTAATGACACAAAAAGTGATCCACTTTTGTTGTAATTTTAGTGAATAGCATATAATAAGGACTCTTTGTGGATAAATAATAAAAATGTACTTTTTGATTTGCAATAAATAGGTTCAAAATCTGGATCCATATTTATTATTATTATTATTATTTGTAGAATATTGAAATTAACCGGATCAGGAAAGAACTAGTTCAGACCAAGAAATCCTGATTTGCATAAGGATGATTTTCTATAGTCATTTCAAAATTTATAGTCGGACTTTAGAGTAATGCTACAACGGGGTCGCTCTCACAGCAGTACCCACGAGCTCTCCTCTCACAGTTGCAGATAAGAATTTTCTTGAGATTCGCAAAAGGCAAACAAACGCCGTTTGCGCTATTCCTCTCTTCCTCTGCGCTCAAACCCAGATCCAAAAGCCAGCACCATGTCTATCATTATTTCTCTCTCTATCCATTAATCTCTCTCTCTAAAACCCATCAAAGACAACAAGGAAATCACCCGTGTCCATCACCGGCGTACACAAGCATGTCGCCGAGCAAAAAGCTCGCCATGCTCACAACTTGCCTGAATGACATAGTTATATCTTATATTGCTTGCTTATTAAATCAGAACCGTTGTAAAACAACCGTTGTAGAACCGTTGATTTAAATCGGGAAAATCGTGCAATTTTATAAAACAACCATTGTAAAGCTGTGAAACCATGATTTTCAGGCGGCCCCAAATATTCCCAATTCACACAATATACAGTAAGACAACAAAAGTAATTGGGAAAGGCAAGCACAATGAATAAGAGAAGATTGTCCTCAAGAATGAAACTCCACTGACACTTTGAAGCCCTCTTTCCCTGATTCATTCACATTTTCTTTCACTGCTCAGAAATTACACGAGTACTTTTTTGCTCGGCGAGGATGGCAGTGGTTCAGTGCTCCGGTGAGCACAGAGAACGTTACGGCGACATGTTTGTTGGCCTTTTGCGAATCTCAAGAAAATCCTTATCTGACGGCTGTAAGAGGAGAGCTAGTGGGTACTGCTATGAGAGCGCCCCCCTGTAGCATTACTCTAATTAATACTCCCTCCACCCTTAAAAAACTCCCTCAACAACCTAGTAATTTTCACACCGCATTAAAATTTGAAAGTCTGATTTAAGAAACCCAGCGCAAAATGAAACGACGTAGTTTACACTGGTCTGTTTTTTTTGGCCTCTTCACAGAGATCCGCGCCCCTCCATGCGGGCAGAGGACAGCAGCGGATGGGGCTCCCCAACGTAGAGGATGCCGATGCAGATCTCCTAATGTAGGACAAACAATGGTATGTTGGGTTTTTACTGCAAAGGGCCCCAAAAAAAAAATAAAAATAAAAATAAAAATAAATGGTTGGATATTAAAATAATGATCCCTATCTTTTCAAGACACAATTTAATTCTCTAGCAGAGGTGCCATCTCTATATTAAAACCTGGCTCGCAAATCGGAATAAATTTTAAAAATCTCAATAAAATAAGGCATTAATTGAATTATAGCTCAACCACCACCTAACCCCCCACTCCTCCCTCACAAGAGTCAAAAACTTCATTTTGTGTACACGTACAAACCTCCTCTTCTCCTTCCCTATATAAACACTAGTACAATACTCCAACCTCACTACTCATACTACAAACATATATATCTATACATATTGTATTTGGCAAATAAAAAAGAGAAATATATAATCAAGCATATATGGCAATGGTAAAGGTTGGAAATGTGGTGGTGATGTGCATGGTGGTGGTTGCAGTTGCAACTTCCCTACATGCAGAAGCATCCCTATCGTGCGGTCAGGTGGAAGGGAGCATGTCCAATTGCCTTGGCTACCTCAAGAATGGTGGTACGGTTTCTCCGGCGTGCTGCGGCGGGGTCAAGTCTCTCTTGAGGATGGCTAAGTCCACAACCGACCGCCAGGACGCTTGCAGGTGCTTGCAAGATGCTGCTAAAAAAATCCCCGGTATCAATCCCGGCTTCGCTTCTTCCCTCCCCGGAAAATGTCGTGTCAACATTCCTTACAAGATCAGTCCCTCCACTGACTGCTCCAGGTACATATATATATATATATATATATATATTCTAAGCCAAAAACCCTAACTCTAGGTATAACCCTACAGAATGGAGTTTACCGTGTATATTTTTTGATAATTTCAGCATTGTCATAAAAATAGGTCTCATTTTCGACTGATGAAAATCAGGACATGCAATAAAAGGAGTTCATTTGGTTAATAGTATTTTTTAACTGTTTCATATTTCAAAAATTGCTTTCTGTTTGAATTATTGAAAAATATTTCAACAATCTAAATAAAACATAAATTATTGATAATATCTAACTTGGTTGATATTGTATTGCAGGGTGAAGTGAGGTTGATGGAAGAGCTAGTGGTTTTCCGCAGCAGGATATATATATATATATATATTACAGTGAGAATAAGATGGTTGTGGACTCTGCTGGGGTCCCACCTGTGAGAGTCTCTTGTTATTACTACTACTGCCTACTTATTAGTGTTTTTGGTGCCAATAATGTAAACGGGTATAGTCCCTTTTGATGTTTGTGTACTGATGGCTTTGTGCCTTAGTTTCTTTCAATAAAAGATTGAACCTTTTGGTGGGAAAATGAAAAAAGTTTTGTGTCTTTATGCCACATAAATTATCATAATAAAATACTACTTGCTATTCAGTATTATTATGACACGCGTTCATCTTTAATCTCATTTTATGGTTAGTGCAACACAGACATTGTAACACAACATTTAAATCTAGACTCAAAGAATAAAAAAGAGACTAAACACCCGAGAGTTCAAAATATATATATCACATTAGACGCACTCCTATGCTAGGTATAATATCATAATAATTTTTATGTGGTGAGATATAATAAGAATATATAATATGGGTGATGATGTTGACACTCCAAAATAGTATTATGCTGCTTCACCACTGTTTTTAATTCCATTAGTTTTTACCATCGTAGGTAAATCATGATTGATTACAACCACTCTCAAGAGTTTAAACACTAAACCCTAAATCCAACAATTGTAGAACTCTATAGCCTTTCAAATGTGTCATTATAATGATTCTGATAGAATTTCCATTAAACTTTCAAGCTCATAATAACTAATTGTCAAAAAAAAAAGCAAAAGTCAATAGCCAATAGAGTTAATTAACAGTTCGAAGATCGTTCAATTTTTTTACCTTCTTCCTTCCAAACAAGGCATTAACTAAGGTTCGGATCTGTAATCCTATGGACTTAAAGAAGTAATAGCATGCATCTATGTAAGATTAAAAGCATAGGAGAAAAGGCATCTATGTTGTTACGTGGTTGCGGTTTGGTCCAATTGCCCTGCCTCCTCAATTGGACCAAAATAATTTATGTTTCTGTAGTGACAAAGTGAATATTGTCATTTAAAAAATAAAAAAATAAAAACAAAAAAATTGAACATCATTAGAGTTTGGGCTATATATGATGTTAAATATGCTGCCCCATTGGCCCAGCCCAAGCCTAAGTTTCATACGGCCTATATTTCTTTTTTTCAGCCCAGCCCAAGCCTAAGTTCATATTTTTATTTATTTATTTGTAGTGGAAACAAACACACACACACTCAATCCCCCACATGTTTATGGTGGGAGGGCTTTTAGCCCAATGTTTGATCTCTTCTCTTGAGAAATAACCAAATACTATAGGAAAATGATATTATTGATGACTTTAATATTTTGATTTAAAATCGACAACGATAAAATATGACTAAAATTATTCTAAAATTTCGACTTAAATATGTATTTCTTATTTGCTTTCATAAAATACGTCTATTTTTCCTTCCATATTTTAGTTTTTCATAACTCCTTTATTTATCATTTTGGTTTTCCATTTGTGGTTGAATCAAAATTTTTTTTTTTTTCCGTTTTCACATCAAATTTCATGGTACTCAAATATAAGAATTTGATTTGTACAAAATCTATAACAAAAATTACAATGTTTTTTTTTTACAATTTTTCAATACTTAGCAATTTTTTAATTTTTTAAATTCCTCTCTTTATTTTTTATTATGAGAGTCAGATAGATTATTAGTTTTGATCATTATAACAATTAACAAATGCCTATCAAAGTAATTGATGTATATTAATAATCAAAGACACAATGTTTTACATCAAGAGTTCTTAAGCGATGCAATGTGATGTATATATACAATAGATACATAATTTGATATATAGGATGATTAAAACTTAAATTGCCAACAAAAATACTAGATTAAAATGAAATCTAAAAAGAATTACGACTTTCTAAATAATTAATTACCTTATATTTTAATATGGTACCATTATATTTTAATACGGTCATACAAACTCAGTGAAATAGTTGGTTTTTATTTGTAGGGCTAAATAGCATGACTCCATACTATAATACTTTTTTTTCCCTACTGGTTAAGTAACCGACATAAATGAATAGTAATTATAATGCGGGCCTTTGGCAAGACAGCTCACAAAAAGAAAGCCCTAAAAAAGAGCAGACGAGGGACAAGGCCCAGTACAATTAACAAAACAAATAACCGCAATTATCAACTTACAAAACTATAATACTTGATCTAAGGTTAAGGTGGTAAGTTTTTTACATCTCCCCCCATATGCCCAAAATAACTAAAATTGTAATCATTTTATACTTACTCTTATATTTTCATCCTCAAATTTTTTCTAATATTGATTTCATTCACTTAAACACAAGAAGAATGCCCAAAAAAAAAAAAAAGAGCAGACTAGGGACAAGGCCCAGTACAGCTAACAAAACAAATAATGGCAATTAACTACTTACAAAACTATAATACTTGATCTAACGTTAAGGGTTTTCTTGCATCTCCCCCCATTTGGCCAAAATACCTAAAATTGTAATCATTTTAGACTTACTCTTACATTTTCATTCTCAAAAATTTTCTAATATTGATTTCATTCACTTAAACATAATGATATTTTCTAAAGGGATAAGTGCAAAAAACCCCCTTCTACGATCAATATAGTGCAAAACAGTTCATGTGTGATATAAAACCCCCTTATATTATCAATTTAGTGCAATTACTCCCCTATTCGCATAAAAATACATTAATACTCTCTCTAATATAATTTTCTGAATTAAGTGCAAAAAACTCCCTTGATACATAGGGTTTGTGCAGAAATAGTTCATACTTTTTAAAAATGTGCATTTCAGTCCATAAAATTCAAAAAAAATATGCAAATAAGCCCATCTGACCACTTTTTGGTCAAAATTGACATAAAATAAATTTAAAAATCCTATTTTACCCTTTTATTTTCCTATTCTACCTTTCTTTTCTACGCTCCACCACCACCACTACTATGTTTATTCTGGCCATTCAATTCAACCCCATAGCCAAAGTTCAACATCGATTTGTTAAGTTAACTCCGTGTGTCATCAAACAAAGCCACATCACAAACCCAGTTGTTGGTGGCTGTTGGCGACGGTGAAGGACGGTGAGCTCGGGGACGCCGTTAATGTGTCATTGGTGATGGCAATTGATGAGAAGGGTCTGAATTTAATGATATTTGTCGTTCGATAAGGATGAGAGCTTGCCACCGGAGTGGTTGACAGTGAAAGGTTGAGGTCTCATTTTACGATGATGAGACGGCAGCCACCTCTGCCCCTTCTTCCCCCTTTATCACCTCTTCCTCCAATACATCTTCCGTAGTCGCCTTTGTCCTTTCCTCTCCCTCCATCACCTTTATTGCCACCACAACTTTTAAAGCCGTCGCCGCCTCTAGGGCCTCCGAGGCTTCTTCATTCTCCGAAGCCCCTTCCTCCTCTCCCTCCATCACCTCAGCCGCCTCTGAACCTTCTACCACCACGACCTACAAATCAATCAACCAAATACAAAGGGAAAAAAAAAAAAAAAAAAAAAAAACTAAAATGGTAATTTTAAATTGTTTAATTTTTTTAATATTATTTCCTATTGGTGAGGGTATTAATGTCTTTTTAATGTGAACATGGGGGTAATTGCACCAAGTTGATAGTATATAGAGGTTTTATACCACACAGTGACTATTTTGCACTATATTGATAGTAGATGAGGGTTTTTTTGCACTTAACCCAAGGGCAAAATAGAGTTTTTGAATTTATCTTATGTCAATTTTAACCAAAAAGTGGTCAGAGGAACTTATTTGCACCTTTTTTGAATTTTATGGATTAAAATGTACGTTTTCAAAAAATATGAACTATTTCTATATAAACTCAATTTTTTTTGCACTTAATCCTTTTCTAAATTTTATTTTGCTATGATTTCATATTTGTTTAATTTTGAAACAGAACTGATCCAAACTGTTTTTAGGTTTGGTTCCATGGATTCGATTTTGTTCTAATATTTCGAAAATCATTAGAATGGGATTGATTCAACAATTATTAAGGAACGATTGAGTTAGATTTGTAGCTACGATTGCCACATATAGGTCTGAGTATACTTTGGACCCTTGAACGAGAATGTCAAAAAAGACAAACTTGAAATTGTTAAATTCTTGGTCGTGCCAACGAAACATTCTTTCTTTGTTTTTTCTCCTTCGTAGTTGGTTTGCTCATAAGTTTCAAAACGCCTAAAGTTCCAAGATTGCAAACGAATTGGGCGGAGTCTTGATTAAGAGTATGTAGACATGATTTGACTACAGCTTACTTTGAATTTTTTTTAATTTTATTATTATTATTATTATTATTATCATTGGGTTTTAGTAGCTCACTTTGAATATGTTGATGGGTCCAATAACTAAAATGTTTTGCTATTTTTTAATCATATTTTATTAATTTTTATTAATAAATGAACATGTAACAATTTTTTTACAATACCCTTTATAAAATATGTATTCTCAAGTATTAGGGTAATTACGGTTAATATCACTCTGGGATTTCATTATCACTAGTGTACTGTCAATTACCAATATAATGATGAGAATATAAATTTATGTTACTAAAAACCGTTATTTAGTTATATTTTATCACCTTTCAAAATAGAATTTGAAAAGTTTAATCATAGAGATTTGGAGTGTGTGAGTTTCTTATTAAAAAATAATAATAATAATAATAATAATGTTTTTGTTCTTATGTATGCGCACTTAGATGTGTTGCACCTTGTATTTTTATTTTACTTTCACTCACTTAACAATTAATTGTATGATTAAGGTCCAAACTCATGTTATTGATTTAGTTGAGTAAAATTATGGTTCAGACTCATTTTACAATTAATTTTCTTAATTAAAGTTCAAATTTATTTTATCAATTTAGTTAACTAAACAGTTAGAACTGCCAAACCTTTAGTGAAAGAATAGGAATTAAATCTCCGAAATGAAAAAAAAAAAAAAAAATATGAGTGTAGATCTTTAACAAGTCATGTTCAAACTTTTGACATAAATTCAAATAAATTATTCTATGAGAGAATAACTTGAACTTTAAATCTTAACTTGAATTCAATCTCGCCTTTGAATAAATTTGAATAACTTTTTATTGATCAAATTGATATTGAAATGAATTTTTTTAATTGAATCTCATTTCAGGTTCGAGTCAAATGCTGAATGAAAATTTTCAAATTGGATCTAAATTCTAAAATGTCAGGGTCAAATAGTGGATTAAAATTAGAGTTGCATTCTCAAAATAAATAACTATTGCATTTTACTGGTACAATAAAAAAAATAATAAATAACGCTATTTTGGTAAAGTCTATGTGAGTGGGCCGAGAGTGGAGCCTGTGAAAAACCGTTAGACGACAAATGATGGTTGTGGGTCCCACAAATAATAGTCACGTGAAGTCCGTTGTTCTAACCGCCCACGCAAAAATGTTGACCGGAATATAAGAGTCAAAGATCCTTTTCAATGGGTCTCTTTGAAGTTTGACGTCGCTGGAATTATGTTGTTGTTCTTGTTAAACATTAAAGACTAGGTTAATTATTCCAACTTTGACTATGTTGGAAAAGTCAAGGTCCTCTTGTAACGAACTAGATTTACCATATTTAACCCAAAAAAAAAAAAAAAAAACTAGATTTACCATAAATTCATTGAAACTTTAAGAAAAAAGTATTTAAATTAACATATTTTATTTCAAAATAAATAAGAAAGTGTATAAATTTATAAAATAATATATTTTAATATTTATCACACAATACAATTTTTATTTAAAAAAATGTATTCCATATATAATGAAGAAAAATAAAATTTAAAGCTTGAATCTCACAAATTCAATAATTTTTTTCTTGTATATATATATATTTTTGGTTGTCACAAACAAGAATTTAAGGAAACAAAAGACAAAGATTTGAGGATTGATAGCTGCTCCTATGGGTCTTAGCAGCCTCCGCCCCAGAATATTTGTACAGATTAGTAGAATTCCTTTGTATTTGTTGCGTTTTGTTGCCGAATAGCTCCATTATGATTTATGAACTCCAAGTTAACAATGTTAAAATAAACAAAGCTTTTTACAAGTACAAAGGATACTAATTTACTAGTAAAATAATCAAATCATTATAAATTAAGTCACATAAAGCGGGAGTGGAAGCGGGAACGAATTTGAGAATGGGAGCGTGAGCGTGAGAACGACAGAATTATAAACAGGGAGAATTTGAATAAGAGAGTCAGCGGAGCATGAGATCGAGAGCGTATTCGGAATGTGAAAGCGACGCATATTAAAAAGAATTGTGTAACTTAGATTACTCTCATAAAGAATAATTTTAGTTGAGTTGCTTGCGATATATAAGTAACTTAAACATTACTTCTAGAAAAAATAAAATAACAAATATGAATAAGAAGACCATATACATAATTACGTGTACATTAAAATCCTTACATCATACAGTCATAAGTTGAACATATATAATACAGTAATGTGTTTACAACAATAAAGTTAAATGTAGGTATTACTTTTAGTTACTACCTCCTCTTATTACTTTTAGTTACTACCTCTACCACAAATTTTTTTTTTTTTTTTTTTTCCTTAATTATTAAGGAATTAGATTGTTCTCCATTTTGAAAAGAGGCCATGTACTTTTAAGTGCATCAAGACTTTTGATGCACATGTAATACCTTATTTATATATATATATATATATATATATAACACATTATATTAAAACATAACATACACAACATCAATATATCGAGAATATAATATATAACACCATATTATACATATCATGTATTATTGATGTAGAATTTTTTTGCATCTTTGAATAAAAAATTTTAAATGTAAGAATATCATACGTGTTGAATTTTGAGGTAAGGAATGAAGTGTCTCATTCAATTTATATTATATATTTTTTATAACAAATAATAATTTGTAATTTTGTATTTTTAATTGAAAATTTCTCAAATGAAAGAGTGTCATATGTGTAGAATTTTCTTATAACGAATATTACGTATCATCTAAATTATCATTTAAAAAAAATCTAATTTACGTTGTTAATTAATTAGTGATTTTGTATTTTTGATAGGAAATACGGTGGGTGTTTCGGTTGGGTTTGACCAATTTTTAATGGGGTCCGTTACTCTGAGCTCCTCTCTCTCTAGAATATTTCACCTACTTTTCCTCTTTAAAAGCTTCTCGGTACCTTTTCCTTCGCTTTCATTTAACTTCTTTGAAGGGTTCTTTGTTCATTATATCAAAATTCAACTACTACAACAGATTTCAAATTCAGAGCTTGGTGTTGGGTAATTGTTACATGCCATCAAAGTTCAAAGCTTGTCCGCAAAGAGCTCGATAACAGCTGAAGTTGCAGAGACCATTGTTGTCAGGTTTGATTGAGATAATGCTTTACCTCTTTATTGTTTGAATTCATAAATTTTGTGGGAACTTGGAATTGGGTTTTCCCTGAGATGTTCTACTTTTTCTGAAACTGTACTATTGTTTATTAAATTTTGTTGTTTGTTTTGTTTTTATCAAGTGAATTTGAGTATATAACAATCGTTATCTTCTGGATTTTTGGTGTACTTTAGGGTTTTTTTTTTTTTGGTTTTGAATTTGGGCTGATCTCTTGTCCGGATCATTGTATGATGATTCATGGTTCACTTGTCCTCCTCCTTTAGTCCTGCATTTTGGATATGTTGTTGGCCAAAAAATTAAGCTGCTATTTGAATTCTGTTTCTCTTTTGGAAGCTCTTGTTGAATTTTGAAATTTCTTTAAAAGAGAATTGCTTCAGAAATGTTATTGTGGGGTCTGAATTCGACTCTCTGAACACTCAAATGGCCCTGTGAGTTCGAATTCAGACCCTCTGAAGACTCGTATGCATTCCACTGTTCCTATGACCTAGCTTAGTTTTATGGTTTCATATGTATTGATATGCCCTTTTGCAATTTATCATTTGGCAGGAAAAGACAAAGCCTGTTTGCAGCTTAATTTTCAACATAAAATGGGTTGTTTCACAGTTCTCAAGAGTAAGAAGAAAAAATCCGAGCAGGCTAATTATATCAAACCTGTCAACCATCATGAACATACATCTGCTACACTGCCTGAACCGAAACATACCCGAACTTTGCATTCTGCACCCCCAAGTTTTATAATCAGGGAGAGATCTGTTCAGCCAATTAATAGTGTAAAGAACAGAATGCGGTTGTTGTCTGCCCCATCGAGCTTCAATTCCCCAGGACAGGATGATCTCTTATCAGTTGAATGTGAGGAACAGGAAGAGTCTAAAGGTCGCGTTGGATCAATGAAGGAACACCGAACCCCGAGTCCACAACCCCTTCCCCTTCCTTCACCACAGAGTGCTGCTGTTCTGAAGCCTATGGGAAGCTTTAATTTGGGGAATGCTAATGGCCCTCTTAAGGCTTACGGACCACAGCCGCTGCCATCTTTGGGAGCACACAGGAACTTCTCATGTGAAGAAATCACTACTGCCTGCCACAATTTCTCTCCTAAACAATGTGTGTCAGAAGGTCATTATTCCGCAATGTATAGAGCTTCCTTTGGGGACGATGCTTCTGGCTCAAAAAGGCTTGAGGCTACTGTTACTCGCCTTCAACCCTCTACCCAGGTAATATTCGATTGTTTAATTTCATTTAAATTACATGACCAAGGCTGTGTTCATTATGTTGTCCTCTGCCTGACAAGGATAGTTGACACGTTCACTCATCTAGTCTAGTTTTGATAATTGATACTATTATTTTGTTGGAGAAATGAAGTAATCTTTCTATGCATTCTCTTTGTAATGTATAATTTAATGTTGTTCTAATGCAATACAGTAAATTGAAACGTAGACCCTGCAGGACCTGCATCATAGAGTGTGCCAATTTTGATATAAAATCAACACAGCAACTTGGTTTTTTTTATTTATTTATTATTATTAGGTTGGGATTTTTGAATATTCTAAGAACTATCAGAGAAAATTCCATAACTTCTGCTGTATAATAATCTTACCATTTTTTTTTATTTCTTCCAGGGTTTGAGGGAATTCATAAATGAGGTGAATACTCTTGCATCATTGCAAAATCCCTACCTCTGTAAATTGCTTGGTTTTCATGCTTGTGAGGGATCAAAGCAAAGGATGTTGGCTTACGAAAGGCTTTTCCATGGAAGCTTAGACCAGCTTTTGTGTGGGAGTTCAGATGGCCCCTTCATTGATTGGAATGCCAGAATGAAAGTTGCTTTATGTGCAGCGCAAGGTCTCACTTTCTTGCATGAGGAAGGGCCATTCCAGGTAAAAGGACTTTATCTACTGTAATATAGTTCACATTAATGAAATTGAATTCCACAATGCAGTATGGTCCATAGTATATGTCAATCATAATTTGTTTAGCATCATAATTTGTGTTTAACATAAATTCCAACTGTCAATTTTGTGATGGGAACTTGCCCCGAAAGGGCTGAGAAATTTGAGTGGATGATCACTTGATGTTAATTTTCAACTGATGTGTTCACTAGTGAGTACATCCGTTTATATACAACAGCTGTGTTCACAAATGATTTCCTTGTATTTACAGGTGATGTTCAGTGATTTTTCAACTGCCAATATACAGATCGACAGAGATTTTAGCGCAAAGCTTTCAGGATATGGTTGCATTAACCACATTCCAGAAACAGAGATATCAAATAGTTTGGTAAGCATGGTTAAAACGATCATGTTAATATTCATTTTCATATTTCTGACTGAAATATGCTCTCTTTTCTGTTTTGGGGTATGGAAGAGCCATCGCGATTATGACTCTTTAAACTTACCTTTTGATTTGTTAATTGAGAGAACAAGAGGAGAAACTATGGATGAAAAAGGAAGAGAAAATCTAAATCAACCATAGTCAACTGATTTATGAGGTGATGGTTTTTCTTGTGTAGAGAGAAATCTCTCTCCTAAATTCCTTTTCATCTTACATTCTTTTCTTTTCTCCTCCTCATGAAGTCAGATTCTTAAAAATTTCTCCTGTTCCATGGCTCCCCTAACCAGTGTGTTAAAATGCTTCACATATGACATTTTATCGCTTAAATCTGTGATTAAATCCAAAACTTGATAAAACACTAGTCATTAACTCTCCGACTCTATTAGGTTAATTGTATTGAGATTACAAGACTATCATCTTACAATACCATCCATTTTAAGTTCAACTGTGATTATAAATTCAACCGTGATTGTTTTTTACCCTTTGCCCACAATCATTTATTCTAATATGCCTCCTATTTTTTGTTTTTAATGATCTTTTCAAGTCCTCAACACATGGTAGCACTTCGTTTGACCTAGATAATTGCCTTAGAGCGGAATGATGAAAAGCAAAAATGAGCGGACCCAAATTGTTGAGAAAAAGCTTTGCTGATTTTAGTTTATTCTTTTGTTCAGGCATTGGAAAATCAGTCATTGGAGACACTGGGGAGAGGGTTGCTCACTCCCAAGAGCAATGTTTGGAGTTTTGGGATTGTGCTTCTTGAACTGCTCACTGGCAGGAAGAATCTCGACAGCCACCATCCAAAGGAAGAAAGGAACCTAGTTAAATGGAGCCGACCTTTCCTAGCTGATGATTGTAGACTGTGGCTAATCATGGATCCTCAGCTAAAAGGCCGAATCCCACCCAAAGCAGCCCGGACAGTGGCTGACATTGCTCAAAGATGTCTTCAGCAGGATCCATCAGAAAGGCCCACAATGAGAAATGTTGTTAAGCATCTCAAAACCATACAGGACATGAAGTATTCCTGCTTGTTTCCACTGCAAGAGCCAGGAGCAGTTGCCCGGAAATATATGTCAAGATCACCGAGCCTAAATGGTGTTGTTGGTACCCTGGAGTCCAGGTCAAGTTTCTCTCCACCTACTCCAGCAACCAGACGATTGATTTATCCATCTAGGCCACTTGCAAGACCCTTGTCTCTTCCCCCTCAAACTTGTTCCTCCGCCCTTTCTTTGGTGGAAATGGATCGACAGAAAATTCGAAAATCATCATTATCAACTGTTCAAAGGGCTACTATTGAAGGATTTTAATTGTTAATAGAGAGAAATTTTTTCATTTATTATTATTTTTTAAAATTATGTTTTTTTTTGTTTTTTGTTTTTGTTCTAAATGATGTAAAGTTTAGCTGATGCAATTTTCCCACCTTCCATTCGCGAGGAATTTAATTCGTGGGATGATGTTTTTGTAGATAAATTGTTTCCTTGTGTTAGTTCCCGCAATGATCCAGTCGTATATTACTGCTGAGGAGACACTCTCTCTGTGATGAGTAATTATAGCAATTTGAGGAACAATAAAGAGAGTAATGTTGGATGTATAAAATGTGTGCATTGCTTATCCTTTTTCTTTCTTTCATTTTCTTATTTTCTTTTGTTTTTTTATCTTCCCTCCCTTTTCCTTCTTGGTCCAAAGAGGAATGACTTCCTATTCTTTTATCTTCCCTACCTTACATTTTTAAGTCTACCATTGTTCATTGAAAAAGGAACAAGTATTGGTGTATACCAGAATTGGGCAAAAACATGAGCCTATGTCAACTCAAATGCAAGAATTGTCTGTCAGGATTTGGATTTTAAAGGCTTGAAAACCTCTTCTTTTTTTCTTTTTCTTTTTTTTTTTTTGGCTTAAAATAGTTTTTCTTTTTATTTTTTTGGCTTCAACTAGTTGATCAAGTGAAATTTTCTATTAAGCCATTTCTTGCATGGTTATACCAGCAAAGCGACTGGAAATTTCATTTCTCATAAAACTTTGTATCCCCCAGCTCACAACATTTATACAAACAATAATCATGCAAGTTTTCGGATAGCAAAATTGGAATCTAAATAAACATATCAACTTTGAGCTTTTATTTCAACTGAACATTTTCTAGGCTTGTTCTGTGGAATCACACCTTGTTTCAGTGCTGCTCCATATAAATTACAAGCACCCCACAACCTTCCATGTCCATTGAAATGATCAATCAAAATGTCGAAAGAAACTCTATTGGGGATTCTTCCCCCTTCGTACATGAGAACTAAAACTGACAAAGCCTCGTTGACTTTTCCCTCCACGCATAGTGCTCGAATAACATTGTTGAAGGTGATCATTCTTGGCGCATACCCAACTCTTACCATCTCATGTAGATTGAATAGAGCCTTGTCTACCTCCTTCCTGATGCAAAAGGCTTCAATCACTAGGCCATAGGTACTAGCATAAACAACAGAAGCATCATTCCTCATTCTTTCAAGCACTTGATAAACATTCCTTGACAGATCCTCCTCTGTCCGAAATCTCCTGCATAACCCTCTCAATAGAGTGTTCATCATCCTCTCATCCACTTCAAAACCAGCTTCCACCATCTCCTCATAAACCCTCAACGCTGCCCGAGTTTCGCCCCACTTCATCAACCCATGCAACAAAGTGCTATAGCTGATATAGTCAGGCAAACAATCTCTATCCTTCATTTGCTTCAACAAAGCAGTACCCTCCAGTGGCCTCCCCTCCTTGAAGTACCCATTAAACAGAGTATTGAAAGTGACCACATTTGGTGTCAGTCCCATCTCTAGAGCTTCATCAAGCAATTCCAACGCCTCGTTTGATCGGCCCACCTTGCAGAAACCATCCATTACCGTGGTGTACGTGTAAATGTCCGGTTTCATGGTAGATTTCTTGATATTCATCAACACTTCATAAGCTTCCTCTACCCTCCCCACATAACACAACCCCTTTAGCAAACAATTGTATGTCTCAACCGTTGGTTCGCAGCAAATTTCACCCATGACTCCAAGAACATCAAAAGCATCCTGCACTCTCCCTCTTCTGCAGAATGTATTGATCAGAATAGTGAATGTTGCAACATTTGGTTGGAACCCATTATCAAACATGTGGTCTACAACCCTTTTGGCCTCAATGGGGTCATTTTTCTTGCAGTAACACCAGACCATAGTGGAATGTGTCAAACAATTTGGCACCAACTTATAGGATGATAAATTGGAGTACACATTCAAGGCAAGGTCAGGCTCATCTGCTTTGACTAAAGCCATGAGCAGATCATTGAAGTCAGATATGGTTTGAAAACCACCATCTCTGTGAATAATTTCCATAATTCTGATTCTTTGAGAGGGTGACGCTTTAATTCTTGAAACCAAATATTGGATTCGTAATCTACTGTTTTCCTTGCCAAAATTAAGGTTGTCTGGTTCTTTGATGGGCAAAGTATTGTTTTGGTGAACCAAGTTGGTCCCATTTTTATTGATCCAATTAGAAACTTTTTGGGTGCATGACCTAGCAGTCTTGTTCACAGGATTGTGAGGCCTTGATGGTGTGTTTTGTGAAGAGTTTCTAGTAGAGATTGGAAGTGTCACATGTGGAACCAACATTCGTTGATGGGTTTCACAGAAGCAAAGGCTTTTTGGTAATGGACATGGAAGTGAAGAGGTGGGAAGAGAGGAAGGTGAAGGACATGGAGATGGAGATGAAAAAGACATGAGAGGGTAGTGGAACAATGGACCACAAAGTTTTGCAGATGCATGCATGTGTGTGTGTGTGTGTGTGTGTGTGTGTGTGTATTTGAATAACTATAAGAAGAAAAAAGACGAATGATAATCACTCATTTTACTCAAAAACATATTGTAGAGAATATTGATCGGAAATTGAATGCACCAACTCTGTAACACAAAAACATATATTGTAGAGATAATTGATCCCTCTCCCTGAAAATCCCTACGTTCATGCAACATCTGACAAGCTAATTTAGAAGCATTTTTAACTGTAAAATTTTTCAGATGCTGTCAAGCCCCATACCTTTGGATCAGAATTGCTGCACTCTTGAATGGGAATTTTTGTAGAAAAAGGTTTGCATCTAGCGTTGAAAATGGAATGCACCCAACTCTGTTTTCCTCGAGTGGGTGTGGCGTTGTATTAAATTTGCCACTTTAGAAATTTGAGAGTTAATTGCCTCGAGACACGAGGTTGAATATTTTGTCAATGACTAAAATACTTAAAATATTCTCAAGATAAAATATAAATAAAAAAAATATTGATTTTTGTTTTAATGATATATTAGGAATATTTTGAGAGGGTTTTGTTTAAAAAATAAAAATAAAAATAAAAAAATTGTCAAAATAGACAATTTGCACATATTTTTAAACATTGGAATTTTATGCGCATATACTAAAAAAAAAAAAATGAGTGTTATTTTTCACATTTTTATACTGAATGGATTTTGTGCACACTGTTTCACATTTTTGGCAAGGGATTTTGTGGACACTCTAATGGTATGAATGTTGATACATTTGAAAGCACGAATAGATACAAAAACATAAAAGTAATAATTGATCAAGATACAAAAGTTTGAGATATTGAAGAAGATTAAAAAAAATGTTTGACCAGATCTCTAAACATGAATATATCTATTTTTCTTTTCTTCAATTTCTGAAAAGTTTTATCAAAAAAAAATGCATACTCTTCACTCATTCCTGTATTGCTATGGACTCAAATAAAATAAAGATATAATCTTACTCTGTTGTACCTTTTTTTAATACAACTAAAAGATTTGGCAGTTTGGTATAGGGAAGAAGTCGGGTTCACAATCAAACCTACAGATAGATCATTATCAATCGCTTGGAATGTACTTTGTTCACTCATTAGCAATTTGATTCGAAAGCAATAATAGGTAAAAAAAAAAAAAAAAAGTTATAGTTGATGTATGTTAAATTTTGAGATATTGGAGAAAGACCAACAAAAAAAAGAGAATTATTAAAGAAAATTTCCTGGGATTATTCTATACATAAATATGAGCCAAAGACTCCCATGAAACAAACACAGTTAAAATGCCAATGCAACAATGCTCAACTCATCATGTCTGGATTTTACGCGTGATTAGGATCTCCTTGATTATCCAATGGCATGTACTGCGCCATGATAGCCCGAATCTCTGAATCCATGTACCTCTGTAAAATTTGAAGCATGAGGATCAGTTTCGAAATTGAGTTCGTTAGGATGATAGAAGGATGTCAGCTATTTTAAAACTTATTTCGTCTTCTTAGTTCATTTTATATCTCACTATTTTTTCATTTTTGTGGTGGAAAGTTGGAATGAAGATAATGATCCTTTCTAGTGAAAAGTTAGCATACAAGACTATAGCAGTAGTGTTGAAGTATCTTTCTACTCCTACGCAAGAAGGTTGTTCTTTTCCATCCCACTTCAAAACAATAAGAACTCTCCCAATCCCCTTTCCGTTTCCCCTTTACTCGCAACATATTCCTTAAACCAAATGAGGTCTAAGCGGTGCTTCAATTAAATTCAAAACCCGTGTTAAATTGAGTTCATTCGGACTGCGTTTGTTATATTATTAGCATCCTCTTCTGCATCAATTAAAGAACCTTTTCATCTGTCCCTTTGATCATTGTGACAACTATAGGATGTCTCGCCTTTTTTTGTTTGTGATTTTTAGTCCCTCATTCCCTGTAACACTCTTGGCTCACATAACTTCCTTTTACATTTAACTGAAACATGACGGGATTAAAGATGATCCACAAACATATCAATTTTGACACACCTTAATTAGATAAATCAATTCCATTCCGAAGTTCTGCTATGAAAGGAACATCAAGGTGTATGATACAATAAAGCAATAAAGACATACCCGTATTCTGTACTTGTATACTGCATAACCCCCAACACTGACAGCAGCCAAACCGAGAATAATAATCCAAACAAAGCTCCAGCTTACCTTTGTACTGCCATCTTTACCTGCACCTCACCAATAGGAAATTGTAAGACGCAGAAACAAATGAAGATGACCAGTGAGGTGCAATATGAAATTCTCATAGCTACTGGTTATAGAGAAGCTCTGGAACCAAAAAAATATCACTCCAAATGTGTCAATGTGGTCCGAAATATAACTGAGACTACAACCAAGCCTTTTTTAATACAACTAAAACTTGGCAGTTGATAAATGGAAAAGTCCCAAGGAGTCCACATTTGATGGATGGGATAATTTTTCATTTCTGACCGAAGTTTTAACAAAGAAGGAAAGAAACGCTCAAACTCACCTATACATGTGTCATGTTCTCGCATGTACAATAGATTGCCACTGCAGCTGCACTCGTAACTGCCCCAGGTATTCTTGCATTTGCAGTCTGGGCATTTGCAAGCTAACTTTTCTTTGCATTCATCAATATCTACAACACAATGTAACAAGGAAAAAAGGTATGGGATACACAACAAATAAGCAATTAGTACAAGCAACATAATGTTTATCATCTACAAAGAAGCCAAAATATTAGAAAGATTCCACAGCTAATTGCTAAATTAATTATAAACACAAGTTTCATCAACAGACAAAAGCCCCATCGACCACCATATGACCATGTAAAGGTAAAGAAAAAATATGCACAAATATTTAAACAAGTTAAAAGAGAAATTCTATAGGATGGTTATTAAACCATCTATGCTATATGGAGAAAAATGTTTGCCAATGAAAAAGAAAAAAGAACAACATGCTTTTTTCTTTTTTTCTTTTTTTTCCCTGTAATTAAGAGAAACACGTTCTTGTTGTCGAGATGAGAATATTGAGATGATTTTAGTAATCAACATGTTAGGGAAATAAAAGGAGTGGCACCTATTAGTGATCAAATAAGAGAAAATAGACTAAAATGATCTAGATATAAAACATGTAAGAAAAAAGATGCACCAATAAGAAAATTAACATTAGTTAGAACTTAAATAGAGCGTCGGAGACAAAGAGGCGGATCAAAACTAACTTGGGAAGAAGTAATAAAAAAAGACTTAAAAGAATTAATTAGATATAATAGGAGACATGGCATATAATAGAAAATAATGGAAAAAGAAATTTAATTTGGAGAACCTTGTTTACATGGGAGCAAGATGATGATGATGATTTAAACAAGAAATTTTATTATTATTATCATTGTTTTTTCCTAAGTGTTTTTTCTATTTATTCAGAAAGCCCCTAAGCATTGTACCACTTAATATCCCAAAAAGTGCATCCTGCATAAATTCTTTGTGAAGGGCAGACTAACTGTCCAATGACCAGTTAGCAGCTGATGACACGGTAATATTAGGGTCCATAATCCCTGTAAAAACCCTATGATGTTTCATGGCAGAGAAACCAAGAATCTGAATAGAGTACCTTCACAAGTCTTGACTCCGTCACCCTTGAATCCTGGCGGGCACTTGCAACCTTTCGAATGCTCATCCTGGAAAGTGCAGTCAAAAACCACTTATTATTACCATTCTTTGGTGAATGGAAACTTAAACAAGATACACGAAAATATCATCATGAGAATCAATATTCTGAAGGAGAGTGGGAAAGAAGTATCTAGCACACGTAGAAGTCGGACACTTACAATGCAAGCAGAATAGGTCTTGCCATCCTGAGTCTTCCTCCAACAGCCTCCATTATTTATCTCACATCGTAAAGCTCCTGAAGCTGTTAAATAAAACGTACAGAAACATGATATATACAAAACAAAATGCTGCGTGATGTAGAAGTCATCATGTTTCTCAATTCATCAAACACACTTTAAAATACACACACACACACACACACACAAAAAAAAAAAAAAAAAAACAAAAAAACAAAAAACAACATTGGTGCCAAGCATCACATGATCAGAGGTACAGCTGCATGACACTAGTTGGACACACTTACCTGAAAACATGGGAGAATATGTGAAATATTTGATGCTTCAATTTAGTATTTATAAGAAGACAAAATAAACATTCAAGAACTCAACCATGTCTACCGCAACCCCACCACCCCCAAAGAAAAAGAAACCCAATCTTTTGATAAGCAAGAATTCATTAATGTCCTTGTATCATCATCATCATCCTTGCCTTTATTCCATATGGATGGGGTTAGCCACATGAATTATCTTTTTCCATTCTTTCCTATTATGTAACGTGTCTTCTCTTAAATTTAAGTGTTTTAAGTTGTTTTTAATTACTTCATCCCAGGTAAGCTTTGGTTGATACGTGCATCATTGGGTCTACGTTGAATATGACCATACCACCTAAGTCTACTTTCCCTAATTATAGGCCTTATACCCAATGTTCCCCTCACACGTTCATTATCTATCTTATCTCAATTCCTATCATCCTCATTTCTATACATGAATGCATTGTATTTGTGTCTTTTTCAAAAAAGCCCAACACTCCACTCTTTACAATATTATCCGACCTAATAATTGTTCTATAAAATTTTCCTTTTAATATATTTGGTATTCGTTTCTCACAAAGGATACCACCACTAGCTTGCCTCTATTTTGTCCACCCGGCTCCAATCCTACTCGCTACGTCACCATCTATCTCCCCATCTTTTTGCAATATAGATCCTAGGTAACAGAAGAGTTCTTTGGAGTAATATTGTCATCGTTTTCTACTTTATCAAATTTACATGTCATATATGTAGTTTTTGTTTTACTAATTCTTAGGCCCCTTGATTCTAATGCCTTTCTTCATATTTCTAATTTTTTTGCGAAGGCTTCCTTAGAGGTATTTATTAATACTATGTCATCCGCAAAACATACACCATGGGACGTTTTCTTGAATATCTTTTGTTATTTCGTCTAATATTATCGCAAATAGGTATGTAGTCCCACCTTTATAGGGAAGTCACTAGTTTCCCCTCATGCAGTGTAAATTCTAATCAATGTCTCACTATACATATCCTGAATAAGATTTTTAAGTCTTTTAGGTACTTGTTTTCTTTGTAAAGCCCACCAAATTATCTCCCTTGGCACTTTATCATATGCCTTCTCTAGATCTATGAAAAATATATGCAAGTCTTTTTGTTTACTCCTATATTCTCCTATAAGTTGTCTCAACTTCCCTTGCCTAGACACACCTGCACCCACATGCTACAGTGTACATGCTTTAACTTAAAGCAAGTAACATAGGTTAAGAATTAAACAGAAAAAGTCAAATGATGTAGCTAGATCTTAGAAATACATCATAAGAACAATAGTCATAATATCAGAGCCACAAACAAGTAAGATAGATAGTCGGACATTTACAACAATACTGCCACTTTAAGGTTCTACACTTCAACGGGAGTTTCAATAATTACAAATATAATGCAAGGTATTAAACTGAAAAAATCTTTTAGTCCATAAATAAATAGAATCATTTTCCCAATGAACATGTCAATTATGAAATGAGAACTTTTAATGGCCGCTAATGAAATCCATCCATGAAAACATTCGTCATCAGCCAAGAAATTATGTGCTAATAGGACTAATACAAACATGGTATAACACAAACATGTGAGTTATCAGGCACCTACTTTCAGAGTCCTAAAGCCTTCTAGGTTCAACTCTGCCGACAATAGATGCTTTTCAGAGAATATAACTGAAAATTGTATAAAACTATGCCATGACTAAGAACAAATGACTTCTTCCATTTCATTAGATTTGTAGACCTATGGAATCATGAGTATCATATCTTTCTTACAGCAAGTATCAGCATTATATCAAAACTAAAACTTCCAAATGAATAAACAAACCTTCACAATGGGTATAACCATCACCAACAAACTTTACACCTCGCACAGTAGGGCATTCACATACTCTTCCACGGAAAGTATCCTACAGCAAAATTTATGTATCAGCTATAAATGGAAGAGATCAAATCACATTAAATACAGAAGACTCCTACAAGCATTCAACTCGCAAATGGTTGTGTACCCTGCATGCAGTAATATTAGCAGCCTTATCCTGCCAGCATCCACCATTGTTTTCCAAACATTCATTTGTTTCTATCCCTGCAAAAAGAAATATGAAAAAGAAAAAAGATGAGTACCAGCTGTGCACATGTTTTACAGATCATATATATTCATATATACTACCAACCACGAAGAACAAAATGTAAAACTATAATGTATGGCCTGCAATCTCAGCTAACCTGAAATTTCAGTATGTCATTTTCGTATTTTGAATGGTTTAGATTTTGGTTGATAAATGCAGACACCGAATTTGGGCAAAAATAAAACAAGTTCATGATACATATTCATAGAGATTACAGACTTAATTTTCATTTAATACACTTGTATGCATTGAACAGGTTACAACCAACAATTACTCTTGTAAGACTTTTCACAATAATGGAAATTCAGATGAGAAAGCAAATATATAACAGTTTCCTGTCAGAAAACTTATCCTTAATTATGGCATTATTTGGATTTTGGAATCAGCAAATCTAATCATTCCGTAACAAGATGGTTGCATCAACAGTTCTAAACGAGACACAATCAAGTTTGGAAAGAAAAGATTTAAACAACAATCCAATTAAGAATTCTGTTGAAGCTCATCAAAAGCCAAACAAGAAGATTGTAACTGGTATTGAGTCAACAAGGTTACAAGCAAATTTAAAATAATAGAGCCCATGGTGGAATTCATTGTGATCATATCACCAAATGAGTTACTCTTCAGTATTCACCCATTTACTCTACCGTGAAATGATGCTACGAAACGTAACAGCACCCACTGTGGTGCGAAACAAGTAGGTCATTGTGCAAAATTAAGAAGAAAGAAGATCGTACAGAAATTGAACTTCAATAACAAAACACAAAGTTAAAAGTACTGACCTTCAGTTAAGCAAATGGCAGGTTCAGTGGTCTCCTGAAAACCTGAACAGATGGCTTTAAGAACTGCACCCCTGTCCAGCTTGCCTGAAACAAGTCAGAAATGCACTCCGAGATCAAATTCATGAAATTACATAAAAACTGAAAACCTAAATCGTAGTCGCTTCAGACCTCTATACTGTCTATTGTTTATGACAAGAGTAGGCAATATAGTCACATCCCCACGGGAACCTTTACCAATCTGAAACCAGAGTAAAGCTATTAACACAATGCAACTGCAAGGATTTCTAAGAACACAAGGAAACGACAAAAGTAGTATAAGTCAGAGTCGTATAAGTCAGTTTCTTAGGATTCATACCTGTGCTTCCTGTTCTGTTTTAAGAACTGAGTTGTCTATATCTGCATCAGTATCTCCTACGCATTTATCTATCTCCTTGATATTAATTCCTTTAAAGTTTATCACAAAAAGCAATGATGAATATTAGTCATAATATATAATTCTGAGATAGTATGCTCAAGCCCAGGTAAACTAGTAGGTATCGAACATAACGAACTTAACAGCAATAGGGAATTTATTGAAAAGCTAAAGGCACACAACTCCCACACATTTTGACCCATAAACAATAACAAACATGTTGAATCAAGATCATACCTATACAAAAATGGAATTAATAAGAAAATAAACCACTGAGGCGAGGTTTTGGGAAAATAAATTGAATGCATAATTAAGAACAAATTGGAAAATTGGTAAGTGGTTAAATAATTCTTCTTTCTTTCTTTTTTTTTTTTTTTTCTATTTTCATTTATTTATTTATTAATCTACTTAATGATTTTGGAGAGGGAGAGGGGAAGAAACAATAACATTGACATTAAACAACTGAATGGCAGCACTGTTTGGATGGCCCATTTTGAAGACTTGTGGTTACATGGATCGTGCAAGAGATTGCAAGAAACACAGAGAAGACTGATAAAAGTAAGTACATAATATGATATTCAATTTTGTGTGTGTGACCTCGCATGCGCGTGTTTGCACATGGGCATGCATGTGTTTTGTGTATTTTGTTCAGTGAAATATAAGAATGTACTAGCTTAAATGGATATGTCATGAAAGACTAAGGAAGCCAGTGGTAATGACAAGGGATTGAATTTGACAAATTTGTCCCGGAAAGATAAACAACAATCATAGTCGGCAAAAGGAACACATGCAAACAACAACTCTATAAAAATAAAATTGCATCCAGAATTTCTCGAGAATATTTAAGAATTTACAAAATCAAATCAGAAATGACCAGATTCTTCCAGAATCAGTAATTAACTCAGAGCATTTAGTAGTATACCATAAAAATAAATGCAAGTACAAAGTGAAGATTTTGTGCATTCTATGGGACTTTAATCGAATTTGGTGTGTCAGGTAACAAATTCTGAGCTAATAAATATAAATGAAATCCGGTATAAGAACCATGCATAATAAATGACAAACAGAAGCATTCAAAAAATATGAGTTGGCAACATACCAAGTGACTGGATAACTTGATTTGCACACTCCTTATTGTATTTTTTCTCTTTCATTGGGCAACGGATAGCAAAATCAGTCACGTAGTCCCACCAAAGCCATGGTCTCCCGCTTTCATTGGCCACTTTAAAAACGCAAGCTTGGCGTAAATTTTGAATAACAACATCTTTTCCCTCATACCCTCTACTGAAGTCCTGCTCAGGGTCTGGAGCACAGTACCTCCCATGGTTGATGCATTGAGACTTGCACTGCTTGCTCAAGAGAAAAGCTTCCGGACAGTACCAAGTTATATAATGAGGACTGAACTGAGTATACCCTTTCTGCTCAAGTATCTGAGCTGCTCCTTTAAAGTTCTTGACAAACTCGATCTGACTGTCACATTTAGGCCCACACTCATCATTGCTATTCGTCCAGAACTCATACTCGACCCTCTCGTCAGGATGTGGAAGAGACTCCCTCCAATCAAGGTTTATGTTAACCATCTCATTGCTAGATACAGCTTTCTTGATTTTATCCCCGAAAGTTTTGCTAATAAGCGCTGAGGGTATGGTTATGTTCTGTACATAATTAGCCTGTGCATCCTCTTCTTCTGGCATGTCCATGGTGATCAAAGGTTCAATCCTATCATCTGCAACGAGAATAGCTGCTGCTCCAGCATTCTGTGCATTCCAAGCCTTCAAGGTGAAGTAACAATCTGATAAAAGAAAGAAAAGAAATAAGAAAGCACCTTGGAGAAAATCAAACAATTTACATGCATATCAAGAACAATGTTCCATGCAAGTGTTTATTCAGGATCCAAGCAGCTTCCCAAGTCATATATCAGAGTATATACAAAACATATCAGACAATGTCAAATTTAAGGACCAATATTTGCTCTAGCATCTCACCATTAACACCCATATTAGTTACGTTTGTAATAACAGGGAAAAAAAAAAAAAAAAAGAAGAAGAAGAAGAAGAAGAAGAAGAAGACATGATCTGATGCATATAAAGACACAAAAGTAGAGGGATGTACAAGGCTATTAATTTTCAAAAAAATTACAGTTTTGCCGACAGTTCTAATGCAGACTAAGCCCAATGATTGAGACCTGGATCATAACCTTTTAAGAAATCCATTAAACTTCCATGATGAATTAATTACTCTTCAAGGACTGCAAATCGAAAGGCAAAGGCAATGATTAACTAGAACCCAGATGTCACACGCACTGGTGCCAAACATATTGTCAAAACACCAGCTTTGATACATTACACATAAAGTCATCGTTCACCATATATTTTACAACCAAATCAAATAAAAATTTACAGACTGCTTGGTTCAGTTTTCTGTTTTCACATTCAACTGAAAAAAAAAAAAAAATGTCTGTTTTTAGAAAAAAATCACACAGGCCCTTAATTGTTCTCCATTATTTTACCAAATATGAAATACATTAACAAGTAACCAAATTCAGAAAAGCAATAAAATTATACTATTGTGAACTTCTTTTCTTGGGGACAAAACAAAATTAGCAACTTAAAACTGATAAAATCTCATTCAAGGACAAGAAATTCATGAAGTTTACCCCCTCGATCGGCAAGAAGAAAGACTGGTAGGCCACCGGGCTTCGATTTGAAGGTGATATCAACATCATTGAAGTCCTTGCATGCCTTTTGATTGGCTTTTGGATAAACCACTGTACCAACCATGGTTCCTCCATATTCAGGAACCCCAAAGTTTCCAATTGCACATTCATAAACATCTTTCAAGTGATCAGGTGAAGTCACTTTCAAGCTGTTCTTCTCCACCACAAATCTGCCGAAACATGAACCAAATAGCAGAAACCAAAAACAAACCAAAAACCCAAGGTGGTTTTCCTTCATCTTCTTCCCTCACTTTTCTTCAATCAATTGATCGAAAGAAAAGGACCCAGATCAGAATATCAAACTCAATGCCTTTTCCTCGGAATACCCAATGATTTGCAACTCAGATTGACAAATATGCGATCGAAATCTCACAGATTATAATACTTTTTGTCAATTTGTTGAGAACCCAGATGGGAAATATCGGCGATCAAGCACAAAGATTACTTTTTGCTTTGTAATGTTGCCGGGTTTCTGCTGAAATTGGACAGAGGTGAAGAAAAGAGGGTTGGGGTGTTGAGAGGAAAAGAGAACGTAGAAAGAAAAAATAAATAAATAAGAGTTTTGAATTGTAAAGACGTGTTAATTTTTTTTGTTAGAGAGGAAAAAGACGTGTTATTTACGTCCTAACTGATTTGGATCTTCTCTTGTATTTATCAAATGAATCACTTCTTTTAATTGGTTTTGATTTTGGTTTTGGATCGTTATGTAGAACTGTAGAAGCAATAATAAATTCCGTGTTCGGAACCAGATCCATTATACAGAATAGCTTAGCTAAGTTTTCCTCGATGGGTCTTCGGTTCGAAACTCTGGAGATTTAATTTTAAACCATGCAGGCAATTTGTGAGTGTTGTGTCTCGTGGGTATTCAAAATTTACAAATTATTAGAAGTTAAAAAATAATAATAATTAACGTCTGTTGAAGCATTCCACTAACACTATTAATGCACTTGTATCTAATGATATTTCTTCTGTATTTAGATTTTAAATCTCTAAAAAAGTAATAAAAAAAAGTAAAATGAGTGTATTTTTACTACCGAAAAAAGTAAAAAAATATAAATAATAATCAATTTTTTTATTGACTGCGGTAGGTTAACAAAAAGAAAAGTGTAAAAAAAAAACTTACAAGTTTTACCAAGTGAACACAATACTCCTTATAGTTTAAAAGTGAGTAAATCAGTCCTTATATTTTCAAAAGTGAACAAATTGGCCTCTTACATTTCACCTCCGGCCACTTTTCATCGGATATCATTGTGCATTTGCCAAACTATCCCTTATAATTAACTTTTTTAAAATATAAAAATATATAAAAGGCAAAATATCTTAAATGCCCTCTAAAATAAACTGATACATTATATGACTCTAAATTGACCAGTGTGTAACTTCTTATTTTGGACACGTGCATGGATTATGTGAATACGGGCTTTCCTACACTTTTTTTCACAATATGTGTTCCGCTTTTTTCTCATGTGTATTTTATTATTATTATTATTATTATTATTGAAATGCTTACTCATTTTTATTCATGGTTGTATTTAGTAGAGAGCAAAAAGAGTGAACCATCCGTAGGTTCTTGTACGTGGACTATGAATTAATGTATATGCATACATGTGCCTTAATAATTTTTAGGCAAGTTTAGCAGAGCATTTTCATCCAAAAAAAAAATCATCTCCAATTTCTCTCCCTAGATTGGTCCACTGGGGGGTAAAAAAAGCTAACTTAGCATATGAGTCATATTTACCAGGCTTCCCATTTATACATACAACTTTTGTATATAACACACACACACATATATATATTGCATTATTTAATGAATTTAACTTTTACTTTATGAGTCCCAAAAAGAAAAAAATCATTCCCCCCAAAAGTTAGTTTTCCTTCAAAATGAAATGAAAACTCTCTCTCATCAAAATTAAGTATGAAATAAGCAAAACCAGACCAAACGTAAAGCAAATCCAGAACGCATTGCATAAGTAATGTTTTGCGATTAACGAGCTCTCTTTTCAAAGAAACAAAATCATACCTATTCCAGAAGAAGAACAGAAGATTTATTAGAAAGAGAGAAGAACAGAACATCGAAGACGATTTTTTTTTACGAACCAGAGGTGAACAATTCCTTTCCCGATGCAGAATAGAAGAAGTAAAAAAAAATATTTTAATTTAAATTAAAAGGCAAAGTTAAATTGTATAATAATATACTATTATACATATAAAGTATAATGTATAGATTGATATTTGTTTAATAATATATTGTATAAACTATAACGTATAAAGTGGTATTCATATATATGGTAAAACAAAAGTAAATTTATTTCTAAACTTGTTAAGTTGACGCTGACTTGGTGATGACAATGTTATCTTAAGGAGGTGAAGGTAGCAGAAGAGACAAGTGGAATTAGAAATAGGTGAAAGAAATGCACATAAACACACACACACACATATATATATAATGTTTTAATCAACTTACCTTGAACGCTGTATGCAAATGGAAAGGAGAGGGAGAAAATGAGTTTGACCAGAAAAAATGACTGTAAAACCTTTTTAGAAAAAAAAGTTATAATGGTTATATTGGAGGGTACTTTTAGTTTTAATAAAAATATATATATATCAATTATGGAACAATTTGCTCATTTTTTAAAATAATAAGGACTGATTTGCTCACTTTTAAATCACAAGAATATTGTGCTCACTTGGGCGGTCCTCGAAGATTGTTTTGCACTTTTACCATGAAGAAATTTATCCAATAATACACATCAATGTTGAATAGAGATATTCACTAATTCTACGTAGTATTATTTATTAGAAAGATCACTTCTAATTTGACTCTCTTTAAAGGACCACGGACATTAAAACAGTTAATGCTAGATGGTGATTGGTGATAGCCGTCCAGATCAATAATAAAAAATGAATAAACGTATTTTTTTTATGAAGTTTGGTTTTAAAAATAAATTTTAAAAAAATGAACAAAGGGTCGGAGTCCGTTCAAGCACCTGTAACAAAGGATCGTGTTTTATTTTAAAAATAAATAAAACTAATTATTTTTATGTTTTGTTTCTTAGTTTGAAATCCACATTTTTGTATTGAAACTATGTTATATTATTGAATAATGTTTGGGTCCAATCCAAATTGAATGAACTTCATCAAACTTATATTATTTTAAATTTTAAAGCAAGTATCTTTTGATTTCAATTTAAAAAATTGGTTAAACAAAACTTACTGATTTGTTAAGTTGAATAAATAAAAATATGTATACAAAGCTAGAAACTTACAACATTCAGGTGGTTTTTACATCGTTGCTAATGGTTAAAATACTCCGCCTTTTCTTCTTAAGTTTAAATCTCCTTTCCAATCCCCTATCTCCTGAGTCCTGACCCTCATCATGTTTAATGAAACAAGAAAAAAAATAAAAATATGATGATTAATGATTATAAATATATAAATGTAATGGACATTTAATTTTAGAGGAATTTTTAAAGTATTTATTAATTTGTTTTATTTAGATTAATTGATAAATGTAATGATTTATGAGTATTTAATTATTTATTATTTATCTTTTGATTAATTTGCCATGTGAATTTAAATATTTATTTTTTGATTAATTTGTTATTTGAATTTAAATATTTATCATTTGATTAATTGTTTTTGTGAATTAATTATTTTATTGTTTGTTTTATTAGTTTAATTAATTATTGGTGATGGGCTCGATGTATATCATTGGACCATAGAACTTGGATTAGCATAATTGGATCATGATGTTGGAGGGCCTTGATGGGCTAAACTTGGATTAGCATAATTGGATCATGATGTTGGAGGATCTTGATGGGCTGTAGTGGAACTTAAGCCCATATAGTATATTATATGTATTTTATTTTTATTTCAATTATATAATTATTATTAGGGATTGTATATAATTACTGAGGTTAGTATCATAGGCATAATCGAAAGGCAAAGGGAGAAAGAGAGAAACTGGAAGGCAAAAAGGGAGAATGGAGAGCAATCAACCTAGGGATACCGGAATTGGAGAAAAAAGATTCAGAAGGCTTGAGACGTCATTTCGTTACGAAAACCTAAGGCAAGTCACTACTCTTCTCTTCTTATTCGAATTTATAAACTCTTCACTTTAGATACCAAAATCATAGGGTGATTAGTTATAGTATAAACATAATTAATCATGAAATAAAAAAAACGGATTTAAACATATATATATATATATATATATATATACATGTATGTTTTTGTTTTTCTGGAATTGTTAACTTAGTTTTGAAAACCCTAGTTTGATTAATGGTTGTTGTTTGATGAATTTGAACCTTGTTTATGCTTTGATTAATTGTAATTGAATAATTTAAACTGTTATGTACAATTGTTAAGAAATAATTTTCAGACGATTTAAGATAGAATTCTGTATGTCTGGACAGAATTTTAAACAACAGTTCGATACATTCGTTTTTGACCAAATCATAATGTTTTCTGGGTGGAAACGATCGATTGAGAAAAACCCACTAGCTGAGGTCAAGAAAAAGGGAGAGGGACTATGCTTAGGTTAAACCGAACCACAAGGATCAGACAACGGTAACCGCAAAGCTGCCGGCACTAGAGAAGAAGGACGTTTGTTTTCAATCTTAAAACCATAAGGCAAATTCTATGTTCTATCAATCCCCTTAGTTCCTATAAATTCTATATCCTTTGCTAGACTTAAAGTTTATAAAGGACGAATTTAACCCAACTAATTGCGATGAATTCGCCTGAAATTGTTATATATGTGTGTATGTGTGTGTGTGTGTGTGCGCGCGCGCATGATGTTTGATCTTACATATTAATGTGTTAAACTTTGATTTTAGTTGCTTAGAACATGTAATTATGATGTATATAAATGAAGGAAATCGATTTGGGACTAAGACTTGATGAGGCAAAGGCAATGAATGATGATAATGTGTCCCTTGATGAGACAATGGTACTTGAAAATAATGAGATCTCACTAAATTATGGAAAACTATGGAATAGAAATGAAGTTGTTGTAAACAATATATTCTTATATGTAATTTCTCTTTATATAAATGATGAGGATCCAGAATCTTTAAACATCGAAGAATGTCAATATAGAAATGATTGGCCAAAATGAAAAGAAATAATACAGGTAGAGCTAAATTCATTAGTTAAACGTGAAGTATTTGGACCTGTAGTCCAAACACCTGAGGGTGTTTAGCCTATTAGGTGCAAATAGGTATTTTTATGAAAATGTAATTAGAAAAAATAAATTATTAGGTACAAAGCCTGACTTATAGCTCAAGATTTCTCACAGAAACTTGGTATTGATTATGAAGAGACGTACTCTGCTGTCATGGATGCAATTACATTTTGATTGTTAATTCATTTGGCAGTCATTGAAAGACTAGATATACATGTAATGGACGTGGTTATGTTTTATTTATATGGATCACTCGGTAGTGATATTTGCATGAAAATTCTTGAAGAATTTAAAATGTTAGACCACGAAGTATGTAATCGATAAAATTATAACGATCCTTATATGAATTAAAACAATCTGAGCGCATGTGGTATAATCGCCTTAGCGAGTACTTATTAAAAAAATGGTATGTGAATAATCAAATTTGTCCATGCATTTTTATCAACAAATCAAAACCTAGTTTTACTATTGTTGCAGTGTATGTCGATGATCTAAATCTTGTATAAACATCCGATGAGCTCGCAAAAACTGCTACTTATTTAAAGAAATAATTCAACATGAAAGATCTCGAAAATACAAAATTTTGTCTTGGCTTGCAGGTTGAACATTTGTCGAGCGAATTATCATCTACCTATCAACATACACGAAAGGTTCTGAAAAGTTTTTATATGGATAAAGTCCATCCATTGATTTCCCCAATGGTATATCAAAAGTGACAGGACCAAGCACATCTCATCAAAATTCTTTTATGCACATGCGTGCCAGAAAAATAGTGATATTGATATTCAGCAGATACATTCATGTGAAAATTTAGCAAACATGTTTAATAAAACAGTGCCAACTACAAAGTTGGTGCACAATATTGGGATGTGACAATTCAAGAATCTTTCGTGCTGATGAGAAGGAGCAATTTATTGAAAATGTTAAATATACCGTACTATTTTTCCTTTGCTCAGGTTTTATCCCATTGATTTTCTGGCAAAGCTTTAATGAGGTAATTCTAACCCATGTAATACTATTTTTTGACATATAAGAATATTATAATCTTTTTTCTTCGCTGTGGTTTTTTTTACTAAATTTTTCTTGGCAAGGTTTTAACAAAATATGTTCTAAATGTAGTATTGTGGATCCGATGAGTGTTATATAATATGGGGTCCACCACCCATCAAGTAACCGGTGATAATGTAAACATATAAGAGGTGTATTGACGTGGAACTATGTCATTGGTCCGATTATGTGCACTTTGCAATTGGCATGGCGATGCATATGTGGATTGATGTACAAGTGATTGGAGCAAGTAAATTGTAGGTGCCAAAATCAAAAGCGGCAACCCAAGGGGACAATCTAATCTATATATGTAATGGACATTGAAAGATTATGTATGACACCAACTATTAACTTTTCATTTCTTCCTCTCTCATTCTTCTCTGAACTTTTGAATTCTATATTGTCTCCTTTAACTCCCAAATACTAAATTTATGTTATAAGAGTCCACAAACAACCTAACTATTACAGTACTATTAATGAAGCCAAAGCTTTCCAATTTGGTTATAAAGGATATATTTTTTTCCCAAATGAGTAGAGTTTGAAAAGGGGTTGAGTTGAAAAATGTCACAAATTATAATTTTTTTTTTCTTACCCCCAACAAGATTCGAATACTCAATCTTTCTTTGAAGATAAAATTATTTTTTTCTTTAAAATTAAGTAAGAAAAGAGAGAAATCATATCATTTAGATTCTGGACTAATATTCGGTTTCAAATAATAAAATGTATTGTTTTAAAATTCAGACAAATTTGGCCGGAATTTCAGGAGATTTAAAATTACTAAAGTGAACTTTGCTGTTGGTCCAATTTTACTCACATTTTAATATTTTGAACTCAACTTCGATCCAAATGGGATTTCATTATTATTATTTTTTATATTTTAAAAAAATATGATTCCAAGCACAGAATAGTACAAAAAAGTAATCCACATGTACTTTGGGTGTGTCATTAAGCAAAACGCTCCAAAAATAATTGTAAATAGTCATGCCATAATAGGATAAATTGAGTGAATCTATTGCCATCACCATGATTGAAAATCTTGTCCAATTTCTACGTCTTGTTCTGCCCATTCATGCATAAAAAATAGTTGGGGATATATATATACATATACAGATACATATTCCTCTCTCTCTCATTACTTATACACACATGCAAGTAGGGGCGGAGTCAATTAAGGCCCAGAGGAGGCACATGCCCCCCCTCACTTTGCTCCAACCTATTATACATAGGTATATATTTTTGGTATATATATATATACTTACATGGTAATTTAAAATAGTGCCCCCCTCAAATTTTCAAATTCTTTTAATTTCCTTTTGAAATTTTTTTTTTCAAATTTCATATATTTTTCATTTTCTAATTTTTTGTTTCCTTTTTCAAAAAATTTATTTTTTCACTTATGTATAATTATGTATTTGTTTGTTTTTTTAAACTTATTTCTTTTTATCGATGACATTTGTGATTGTATTAATTAAAATATTATTAATTACTATTTTGATTCTTATATTTGTAACTATATTTTTTTTACAGCATTTATTTAACATATTATTTTACAACTATTTTTTTCTTATTTGCCTTTTCGATTTAAAAAAATTATATTGTCATATTTATTAAAATATATATTTTTTTAACAAGTGCATTGTGCCCCTATGAAATAAAATTCTAACTCTGCCCCTGCATGCAAGGAAGCTTCCTCTTACTTGTAAATCGTATCACTGTATCAATCCAAACATGATAATATAAGAGCAAACAAAACTAGAGTAAAAATTTTCTCTCTTTATTGCTCAAGTTAAAATAAGAATAATAATAATAATTAAAACTTTAAACTAAATTTTTTTCAATTCAAAATTTACAATTTAAACTTAATTTCTTTATTATATATATATATATATATATATATAATATTAGATTCAATCATTAATCTTTATTATTTTCTAGTTCTTGATATTAAATTATATTCCATTACTGAGAATGATTTGAATAAATATTGAAGTTGGAACGGCTGGTTTAGTAATGGAATTAAATGTCCTATAAAACTGGCGCCTTGTAATTTCTACCTAAAACCTCCTTGAAATGCCACTAAAATGTCATTCTATTGTTGTTCATAATTTCTTTAAATTCTAACTTTTAATTCAGTTAGTTTGACTCGTTGGTATTGTTGATTACCATCTCTCAGCATTCTGCTTGTTCTCGTCACTCATTTATAAAAGCTTACTAATATTCGAGTTTGTAGCTTGTTTTTTTTATATTAATGCGACTCTCATTTATATAGACATCTGGCCTCCTTTCTCATAGATGATTAAGATGCAATACATTTCGGGTTAAAATTTAATTTTTAGAACTGTCCACGTAAATGTAAATATATTTATAGCCTCAAATTTTCTGCAATCTTCTTGGATCTATCAATTTCTAGAATCCACGTCTTTCTACTTAACACTCCATAATTCCTTATTATTTGTAATATTTTATATTATTGAAATGAATAGTAAAAGAAAATATTATTGAAATGAAAATATAAATATGTGAGATAGAATTTTTAATGATGATTTTTTAAAATAAAAACATTGTATCTGTACCCATATCATTTCAAGTATATTAATTGAAATTTATGAAGATAATTGAACAAAATGATTGATTGTTTTTTTGTTTGCCAGATGTGAGGTCAGATGGCAAATAAAAGAAATTGTTGGGGTTATATATATTTTTTACTTTATGGAATTAAAAGCCACAAAATATTCTCTCTTTGCCATTTTTTTTTTTTTTTTTTTTTTTTGCTTTCTTTTAATCCTCTCTATCTCAATGCTTATTCAGAAACAACGTTTTTGTTTTTGTTATGTGATGTGTTCAATAGTTGATTGAAAACATGTTTGGTAGGTAAAATTTAAACAAAAACACGTTTTAGACAACAAAAACTGTACTATTCAAACGGATGTTTTGTTTTGATAAAGTACTAACCCAAAACAATAAACAAAAATTGTTGCCAAATTCCGAAGTAAGCTGGTTCTGGAATTGATGCAAAGCCGAAATTTTCTGACTCAGCATAAAATATAAATGCATAGTACAGTGCAAAGTGAGCACCCAAAAAATGTCGAAGCCTCTTGAGAAAGGATGGGAAGGAGAAGGCTCCAGCAGAACCAAGAATGAACCTTCCCAAACACATGAATTCATTACATATATTCTTAAAAAATAAATAAATAAAAAGAAAGAAATTAACACATGCGAAAAAACGGAAGATTCCTCTAGTAAATTTTATCGACTCCAAACATTATAATATAAGAGCAAACCAAAGTATAATTTACCTTCTTTTTATTTATTTATTTATTGCTTTAAGCTTAAAAGTGGTCAGAAAAGTACAGTAACAGCAGTAAGATTTACTATTCAGCTTCACACAGCTGATCCTACTATACCTTTTATACCTCTTATGTACATTCAACATAGATTCTACAACAGTGGAAAAGGCAATTTCTTAGAGAAACAAACAATACCTCAAAAAGATGTTCACCCTTTCATAGGCAAATAATGCTAATCACTTATTCTCGTTTGTCCTCTTCAAGATCTTCCCTGAGCCCAATTACATGATCTGTTGCGCCCGACACACCCTTCCTTTCCTTTCTTTCAAGCTGTGTTCCCGCATCGTTGGCCACCTTCACTCCAATTGTAAGTGAGATCGCCTCCTCATCAAAGTCATCTCCTGTCTCCCCTGAATATGCATATCTACAAGCCCCACACCAAATAATTTGTTAGCAGTAGCATAATATTGACGTCATGCCACTAGTATCAATGTTATGGCTGCAACTGCTGTGTGTGTGACACACACACTCATTAAATATAATAGCTGTAAAAATCTAGATTAAGAAGATGGTTACATAGAGTTCACAAAATATTCTTGGAGCGTAATATAACTGAAAATTTTATGAAAACGAGATCTTATTATTTCTTTTTCCTTTACCCCTAAATGATCAATTTCTTTTAAAAAGGATTTAAGAAAGTTATCCATTAGAGTATCCCAGAAAAGTAAATTGCATATACTTCTGTTGAACAAAAGGATCAGCTGATCACTATAGATTCATGTAGTGACCGGTAGACTTCTGTAAGTTTCTATTAAATGGAGTTCATGCTATCAAAAGCTATAGTCGATAAAAGGAACTCATTAGATTTCCAAGAGATAAACGATCCTAAACATATTCGTAAATTAAATTGAATCTTCAAAGTAAAAAGATCAGTTTAGTCAGACATCTCATTACAAACATCAGGCACTGCCTACATAGTGGAATAAAAACCTGTACGCCCACCAACCAGACAGTTGGTGTTCAAAGTGGTAGACAAACCTAAAGAGGGCAATGTCATAGAAAGTACCTTGTTGGGTTACGTGAAGGAGCCCATAGAACACATATCACCACCAATAGAGAGAATGCAAGCAGACACCAAAAGGCTGGAATGATCCAGGCGATTCGCCACAGCTCACTTAATGGGTCACTTGCATTGAAGTATAGCTGAAGCCAAAATGAGAGATTCCTCAAATGATCAGCATTCACAGAAACATAAAAATGAAAAGAAAAAAAAAAAAAACCCTATCTGGTACGAAAGGTCAAAATATTTTTTTCTGTGAACAAAACAAGAAAAAGTACTACCTCATAGCCAATCCAAGCAATAGAAAGCAGCACAAATATTGCAAGGGAATTGGTAAATTTTCGGTAGAGCTCAAGTTTAGCTATGCTTTTCCGCATCTGCAGTCAAAATGGATATATAAAAAAAAAAACTCAATAATTGCGCCACATAAATGAAGATGTTTTCTCTAGTAATTCATGAAGCATCTTGTCAGAGGGTGCAAAACCATTTACATATCTGCCAGAGAATATTTCTATAAGTAAAAGATTATAAATAAGCAAAAAAGTCCGAAGTAAAGTTTGACAATACTTTATACATGATCAAAATTATGCCATTCTAGCAGTAATAGAAGAATGTATCCACAATACGTTGCCGTTCAGGAGACCAGTTATATGAAAATTTAATCCTACTGAATAATCTTTAACCATGTTAATCACGGGAGTCATTGAAGAGGTGGCAGATCCATTTATTCATCTGTCTGTCCATCCACCACATACAATCATGCATGACATAGATATGTACATTTCTTCATGCACATATAAAAGTCATATGCATTTGAACGTTAGAGATGCACACACTGACCCAAAATCTTATGTCGCATTTAGTAGATAAACAGCACAAGTAATCAGCCCAACCAAATGAGTTATAAAACTTGAAAAACTGAACCTACAATTATCCTAATGTGATTTTAAATTAAATTATCTGCTTTGTACTACATATGATAGCAGAAAACAAACAGAAACGTACCAGTGTTTATAAAGAAGCTGTAATAGCACGGAAAGGAGGATCTTCTGAAAGAAAGGATTACCTGAACTTTTTCTAATGTTTTGGACAATGACAAGAATATCCACGAAATAAACCATGCATCCAAGAAAGCAACAGGTAGCACCAAATATAACTTAGTTTTTCCAGAGAAGTCATCGATGTTTCCCAAATGTTCAACGAGCTCAAGTACCTCTGAAGCAACAAAATATATCACACCAAGAACAAGTACTTTTAAGGTTACACCACCAAGGGTAGGCCTCACCACACCATAACCCATAGAAACTACCAAAACAAGCAAGCGAGACAGAGTCTTCTTAACAGCACTAATGGTTACTGCCCACAATGTGATGCTCATCGGCCTGCTTCCAGTGGCATTAAGATTTGCATATTCGAAATACCAAAGAGCCATTTCACACATTCCAAGAGCAATTACTGCTGTTATGTGGTAGTGCAACTGTATGATATCCTTCCAGAATTGGACACACCGTATAAACCAAATCAGGCCAACTATAAGGTAAGCTAAAGACACAATTCCATAAAAATTCATCAAAGGGGCCATCTTCCCAGGTAAATAACCTTCTGGGTTCCTCCACACAGTTATTCCTCGGATTACTGTGCCCTTGAGTTCTTGATCACAAAATATAAAATAAAGATAATACATTCCAGTTTTTTTTATCTCTACTGATTCAGGATTCATCTTAGCTTCCTGACCCTGTCCTTGAAAGAAGGTTTGAATGCGTTTTGGCCAGTCAGGGTTGTCTGAGTTTTTATGGATAATGACCTCTCCTAGCTTGCAGGATTTATTATGGGCAAGATCTGGGGTGCAACATATTGCATTAGATTTTATAAAAGAGCCTCCAATACTTTCCCTGTCTTTTACCTCAACTATTATTGCTTCAACCAATCCAGTCGCACTCTGCATTTCATTCTGATTATCAGCGGACTCTTTAGTCCTCACAAAGCTGACACTTTCAAACCTACAGTTTCATCAGTTCGTGCGTGTGAGATCCAGCATATATATATATAAGTTAGCATCTAGAATTCCAAAGCATGTAAGTGGAATAAGGAAATCAGAACCTACTACTGGATCAGTTCACTTCAAATTAAGACCTCCCAAGGTTGGGAAGAGGCTAAATATTATGATCATACCCATTTTTCGATCCATCAACTTCTAGAATATGAACAAATATTGGGGGGAAAAAACAGTATAGGAGATGTCCTCATGTAACTAAATTGTAAATACAGTATGCTCGTACATACACCCTTGTTCATACTAACAAAAACAGAGGTCAATTACCAAAAATTATATAAAAGAATTGTTAGGATATTGCAGCAAAGTGCCGACATAATTCCACAAAAAGTCTAAATTATGTCAATAAAGTTGTATCACTTCAGTGGATGGTTTGCTATTAACATTGTGACTGAAGATTGAAGACACAGCCAATATCTAATCAATATGGTTCTTCAAGTTTGCTTGATAATACAGCTTAGGGGAAATTAAGTGACCTAGATGCCATAGGTTTGAGGTTGGTCAATCAATAGATCAGTTTGGCCTGCACTTGACCTAATTGTTTGAATGAACTAACTTGGAAACTAACCAGGAAGTTCAATATGAAAAAATAATATGTTTTGAGCCCTGAGACAAACCTGCCTCTTCCAAAGGCCAGAGTGACACATAACAATAGGCTGGGAAAAAAAAAAAAAGTCTCTCAAGAAACATATTGTCACATAGCCCAATGACTAACTTGGGGGTTCAAGCGCAGCGCTTCTGAAGCAAGATTTTTGGAAGGAATGCATTCGATAATCTTTCATGGATGGTTCTTTGAAAAATCATATTTCTACATTTGGTGCTTGTTGGATCGATCAAGCTATGATTTAGGATCAACAAGGGCGTCCAGAGAGTGCTTAACCAATCGAGCATATCTTGGACCTGTCAAACGCACTCCAGAGACCGCTCGACCGATTGAGTGATCCTTCAAGTTGTCAAGCATGATCTTGTAAGGTAGCATTACAGATGGTAGTTAAACAAAAGAAAGAGGAAAAACACAGTATTGAGTGTTCTTGGATTCACCTAGTTAAGAATAGTTAGATGCACATATTGATCGTGTTAATATTTCTTTCAAGGAGTGTACTGCTAGATCTTGTGCTCTTCAACCACAACATAATCATATCGCAGATTACTTTCGTTGGAGACTCGGAGTGTGATCCATTGTTTAATGATGCGTGTCTTATTCATATGAAAGAAGGTGTATCATGCGAAATTAATCATTGACTTGTAGAACCTAGCGTAATACTATGACATGGACATCAACTGAGATTGTGGAGGTGAACTGGAACAATATGTGAGACTTGGACATGGATAACAACCAGGGATTAGTGACAAAATAAGAGAAAGCAAGCTTAGATGAGGATATAGATCATGATATCACTAGCAGGGTTGGAGCAGGATGGACTAAAAATAGACAGGTTAGGGTATCCTATTTGATTAAAAAGGTTAGGAGTAGCAACTATTAGAGACAAAATAAGAGAAAGCAATCTTATATGATATGAATGCACGCAACGTAGAACCGCAATACACTAGTAAGAAAAGGATGATTACTATGCATAGAAGATAACTAGATAAGAGATAGTGAGGCTGATCAAGACTGACATGGGATGAAGTAATTAGAAACGACTTTGGAAAACTAAATATATAAATATAAAAAAAGAAAAAAAAGAGGAAGACATGACACTTAATAGAATAGAATGAAAAAAAATTAAATATGCGGCCAACCCCATTCATTTGGAATTTATCATCTTGATAGGTGTAACCTTATTTCAGTGTTTTAACTTTATTCATTTATTTATTTTGATAAATCATACACATTAAGGTCTCAACGAGGACTATAACTCTTTATGGCCAGGAGACATTACCCAAACTAAAAAGTGTTGGTATCCTCTTCTCATTGATGACATGAACTCACGAAGAGAAAATTTGCCTCAGAGGTACTTCCTTACAAGGATTAACAATTAGAAGAATAATATAAATATCAACACAATTGTAGGCATGGGTTTAAATATCAGCCATTATCATTACGTGACAGCATTGTCATCTACTTTAAATCACAGCCATAATGGTAGTTATAGGCCCAACCAATGTCCAACAATGACGAAAAACTGCGTCGGTTAGGAAAAGTAAAGCGGTCTTATTAAGGGCAATGATAGGGAAGGAAAGACCAAAGAGATACACATATGATAGCATATGATTGAACTAAACTATGACCTCAGATGGAGCAGAATGACAAAACAGAATTCATATAATCGACGCAAAATAGTCGGGAAAAGAGACTTTGTTGAGTTGAGTTGAATTAAATATATAACAGCATTTCAAATTAAAAATGCTCATGTGGAATAAAGAAATTTGTCTTATCGAACACAAAGTGCAATTTGGAACTATGCAGAAGTTAGATGGAGAAAAAAAAAAAAATTTATAGCTGCTTTTATTATTCCAATATCATATTTCACGCCTTCTAATCTCTACTCATGTTCATAATCTAGATTAGAATTCAGATGCAGTTTCCATATATATTGAATAAACATTATCACTAGGGAAAAAAAAACCAAACATTATTGTGTCCCTTTTAAAATAGATCATGGTGGTTGACTGTTATCATCTCGATAACGGGAGATTGACTTGGGATGTTCAGTTTAGAAGACACTTTCAGGATTGGGAGATTGAGGAGGTTTCTCGTTTTTTGGAGGTTCTGTATCTCCAAGTGATCACAGTTGGGGATTCGGATTGTTGGCTTTGGGATCCCAATTCTCATGGTCGTTTTGAGGTTAGGTCCTTTTTTAGGTGCCTTTCGGTTTGTGCTGAAGGCCTTTTCCCCTGAAAGTCTATTTGGCGTTCTAAGGCTCCCCTTAAGGTTGCCTTCTTTGCTCGGACTTTCGTCCTGGGTAAGATTTTAACCCAGGATAATTTGAGAAGGAAGAATCAGGTGGTGGTCAATCGTTGTTATATGTGCTTGTGTGATGAGGAGACAGTTGATCACCTTCTTTTACATTGCAGCATGGCCAAAGACTGTTGGGATTTGATGCTTGGATTATTTGGGGTCCATTGGGTTACACCTTGTTCCTCTATAGGGTTGATTGAGGCTTGGAGAGGTGTTTCTGTAGGGGCTCTCGTGCAAGATGCTTGGAGGGCTACGCCTCTTTGTCTTTGGTGGTGCATTTGGCTTGAGAGAAATCGGAGATATTTTGAGGAAAAGGAGAATCCTGTTTCTATGCTTAAGTTCTCTATTATTTTCACTTGTTGGGTCTCAGGAAGAGATTATAGATCTTTAGAGGAGATTTTTGTTTTTTTGGCCTTTTTTGAAGGTTTGAGGCGCCTTTGGCCCTTGTGTTTCTTTGGGGTTCTTGTGTCTTTGTGTATGATCAACATTATTGGTCTCTATTTTTGTGTAATGAAAATAGAGCTTGAACTTATTGGTCTTCTATCAACATTAATAGAAGCATCATAAGAAATTCACATTATATTTTCTCATTCTTACTAGATGCTTCATTGCTTCTATTACTCATGGTTTGAATTTACATAACATATTCAAAAATAGTAAGAAAATAGAGCTTTTCTGTCATCTCATCACATGAAAGTAATAATTCTCAGTTTTTACCAATAAATTGAATCCAGTGGAACTCAGACCATATTAGGTGAGAAAACATGACCTAATTTTTTTGTTTTCATACCTTGGAATTAGAACTTAGACCACAGTAGTTCAAATTATAAACTTACTAAAATTCCAATTGTGGGGCACAGATTCCATGTTTCCAAAACCTAAATGTTCTATGGATTAATGGGTCTCATTCAACAAAAAAAACACACCAAAAAACACCACCAATGATAATAGAAAGGGTTAACTTGAAAAAAAAATAAAAAGAAAAAAAAAACACCTCTAACTTTCATTGTTTTGCAAATAACCCCTGATGATGCAGTAACCCCTGGACTATTTAAAAATTACAACTTACCCCAATTGAGTTGGATTAAGCTGCCGTTAACATACATCTAATTTCCCATTTTAACCCTCAAGAAATGAAAAACATCGGTTGTGAAATGCCAAAAGATCCTCATGACAAAAAATTTGGACAATATATATCATACGGAGAACCACAACAAATTTACGTTATCAGTCGATTCATGGATCTAAAAATGATACAACGTAATTTTGAGCAATAAAAAAGGTAAATAGATATTTCAGGTCGTGCAAAAATGAAAGTTCAAGGTTTTCTACAAAATTGTGCAAGTTGAGGCGGATTTTTTCAGTTTACCTTAATAGAAATTTGAAATGGATTAACACTCAATCTTGTGCAATCAATTCAGGCAATAAGTCTCATTTCACTAATGGAACCATGTTGAATCAATAACCTTGTAATTTCAAATATATATATATATATATATATATATATTGGTTGAGCTTTAGAAGGGAATATTTACCTTATGAAGGACTTGCCTTTGTTGGGTTTATCAGGAGAGATGGGGGACGAAGAGTGAACCTTGGAAGCATAGAGACCCTCACTACCGCCATGGAAGAAGAAAGCATTTGACTGAGGAATGAAGGGTTCGTTTCGATACTCGTGAATTGAGGCATCAGCAATCTGTATGATTGAGTTGCATATACACACAACCCCAAATGTAAACCCTAGCCAATATATTCCGTACTTCATCGTCTCTCTACGGAAGTGGAACAGGAGAGAGGATAAGTAATTAGTAAAGACACTGTGAGGAAGAAGAGATTGCTGGTGAAAAGTAACAACCAGAGTCAGATTATGAACGTGACGTGGAACCTTACCTTGTGAAAGATTATTCGTTTTTTTACGCTCCAAACGCTGCCGTTTTCTAGGCGCGTTCATTTGATGTGAAATCCATCCTATCGTAATAATAGAATTATTTGGAGCAGGCATATCCACCTATATAACAATCACTTTTTCATTTAATCCCCGTTTGAGTTCGAGCCACCTCTCTATCCGAACTAGCTCACTTGGAAGTTTAGTGTAACAGTGATTTTCATTCAATCCCTGTTTGAGTTCGAAAGAATTAAAAATTGAGTCTAATTTTGATATTATTTATAATAAATGAGCGTTTGCGACATATTCACCAATTAATACTCAATTATTTTTCCATTCAAATTTTATGTGGAACGAATAACTAATCCATTTTATATAAACACATAATAAATGTGCATGATGTATCGAACAAATTATATATTTTTTTCCAAAGTCTAGTTATGATTTCATAAACAACAATAGTCTTAGCCAACTTAACCTTTCAAAAAAAAAAAAAAAAAACAATAGTCTTAACCAATTGAAATGTTAAAAAATCAATCTCATCTGTTCACATAATAAATTTACTTTTGACCAATTCGTGAAGTAATGGATGGAATACCTAATCAAATCCTCTCTATCGTCACCTCCAACCTTCTCTATCGTCACCTCCAACCTCTTTCTATTAATTTATTGTAAATATATATATTTATATATAATTAAAAATAATAATAAAAGTGTTCGTGGGTTTTTTAAATTGACTGAAGTGTCAAACATTGATTAAAACGCTATAAAAGAGGATATTCTATCTTATTAATTATTAATTATTAATTAGTGATGAGTTGTGGAAAAACCTATTAGACTATTCCTTAAAAAATTAAAACAACTGTACATGTTTTGTTGTTTATGTTTGTCTAAAAAATAATTGGTGTAACCTTTATATGTTTTAAGATGCTTGTAATGTATTATATATATCCTAATATAAAAAAGTATACTATTCAAAGCAAAATTTTTATTATTGTACAAAGTAATGAACCCTACCAAAAGCTTACCTTTAAACTCAAAAAAAAAAAAAAAAAAAAAAAAAAAAGAAGCCCCTATCATATGCATAAATATTGAAGGTATTGTTGTATGTACACAAATTATGTACAAAATACGTTACAAACACAGAGTAAATTTTAAATTTTACGATATTTTGGCATAGCACCTTGCACTATTGAGTAAGCCATATACTATGTTATTGATATATATTTACTTAATAAAAATGCATCATATTAATTTGATGAGATATATTTTAATTAGGTAAACATACCAATTATATATGTCTGACTCACCTAACATGATTTAAATTTAATTATCTTTTTATTTTCAACAATAAATAAATTAATTAATAGATCGATCGATCAATCAACGGGGAGGATATTATATAAATAAAGATTTATCGTGTTCATTTTATATTCTTCGAGCCAGTCGCACAAGCACTTAAAGTTGAAATTAACCTCCTCTTGCTGGTTACTCTTCTCTTCCTCAAACAAATCCTCCTACAAGCCTTGAATTTTATTTCCTAAATCTTTGCAACAAGCCAACAATCAATTAAGTAGCTTCTTGATTTGGAACCATATATACGTGTGTGCTTGGCTTTATGAAATGTCATGGTATGCATTATCAGATAATTTAATCAATTTCCAACACTGGATTGGAAATAATAATAATAATAAATAATGAAGCTTTAACAGATATTGGATGACACCTGTAACTATATGCAAGTGGGCATCCAGTTAAACCAATTCTTAGAGTTTGGGAGGCCATTTTCATATTTAATCAGACCCCATTTCATGTCATTGTCCATTATGGATTTTCCACAATCAAATCCACCCATTATTTAAAAAAACAACACTAGTAGTGTCTACTCATGTCTTCTTCTATTCATGACCTAACAAAACTCAGTACATTACAACTCATGATGATTGTTAGGTAAGAAAAATTAATCATTGAATTAAAGAAAAACCATCCTTCATATATATATATATAGGCTTGCTTGGTTACTTCACCATCTCTTAAAGTCTCTTGCAACCCTAAAAATTCACTGAAAGATGGAAGTGATTCATTATTTGGACACCATGTTAGTCCCCTTGAGCCTCTTCCTCACAATAAGCTACCATGCCTATCTATGGCACAACCTCAAGAACAAACCTTCAATAACCACCATAGGCATGCACACCTTAAGGAGGAGAGCATGGCTTCAAGACTTGAATCAGGCAAGCCTTGTACATAAAAGGGCTAGCCCAGTGCATGAGACTCTCTCTTTTGCGGGATCTGGGGAGAGTCAGATGTACGCAACTCTTCTTGTTTTGATATATTTGTGCATAAATCTAAGTTGATTTCTATATGTTGTGAATTTTTGTATGCAGGGTGATGACAAGAAGGGTATGCTGGCTGTGCAGAGCTTGAGGAACACATTAATGGACACTATACTGACTGCTTCAATAGCAATTATCATTGTCATTTCATTGGCAGCTATAACAAACAACACCTACAGTGCGAGCCACCTATTGAGCAGCCCAATTTTCGGGTCACAGTCCGGTAGGATCGTGGTTTTGAAGTATGGTGCTGCATCACTCTTTCTGTTGATTAGCTTCTTGTGTAGCTCAATGGCTCTCGGATGCTTCATTGATGCCAATTTCTTGATCAATGCGTCGAAGGAGTTCTCGTCTCCTGGATACACAAGAACCATAGTGGAGCGAGGGTTCATGTTGTCTGTGGTAGGCAACCGGATGCTCTGCATCACAGTTCCATTGTTGTTGTGGATGTTTGGTCCTATACCGATGGCGCTGTCCTCAGGGGCATTGATTTGGGGGCTTTATGAGCTTGATTTTGCTGGGAACTTGAGGTCAAGGAACAAACAAGACCTCACATGAATGCATAACACATAAAACAAAGGATGTAAGGAAAAAAAAAAACAACAAACAAACTTTTAGTACATGAATAAGAACTTTTAGTACATGAATTGCTTCTTTATGCAGTATGTTTTCTATGGAGGTGTTATATGGAGTATTTTTTTTTTTCCTCGACTATGGTGGTATTAGCTTCTTAAATTCCCTTCCCGTCCATATGCACCACGCAAATACTGATTTCTTTTTTTATTTATTTATTTATTTTTATTTTTTTTAATTTTTTATAAAGTGATCCCATGTAAAGAAAGTAAAAATGAACATGTTTTTCCTTTTTCTTTTTCTTTTTTTTTCTTTTTTTTTAAGTTAAAAGCAATTTGCTCACTTATTTGGCCTCCACTAAAGTTCGAATTCTTAATCTTCCCTTAATAAGTAGGGACCTAGTACTACTTGGCCATTGCCTGTTGGTAGGTAAAGAACATGTTGTTTTGCTGAATCCATTAGAAACCTTCCTAGGTTGTTCTTTGATCCTTCTGAAAAGAACATGTTCATCTCTTGGAATAATTGCCGTGTGTTAAGCTTCTAGAACAGTTGTTAGGTAGTTGATTGCTGGGCTATTTGGGCCCTTCTTGTTTTGGACTTTAAATCCTCTCTTGACATATTGGGCCTCTGACCATTTTCTGTAGGCCCTTGGGGTAATAGTCCAAGCACCGGGAAAATATTATGCTCTCTTTTAATTTCATACTTACTGAAATAAATAAATAAATTTCTCTCTAGTAATTTTCTTTTCCTAATTTCACTTTCCAATTTAATTTTTTTTTAAAAATATGTTCTTTAAATTAATTGAACTCTTGGATGACCTCCACCTTATAAATGTAGTTCATAACCAACTCTTTCCCGTCGTCGGACTCATTTTACAATTTTTGACTTATCATTATTTGTAGAATCTGCTTAATTTCTATAGCTGTATAATAAAATAAAAGTTAAGCCAAAATTATTTTTCCTCTCCGGTTTTAAGATAACATTATTTATGCAATGCATAATAATTTAAAATTTAAAGACTTACAGTGTTGATATGGGAATTGTTTCAAAACCGAAGGATAGTTTAGGAAAGTGCCGAGTCCAACAAATTGAACAATATTCTTTTGGTATATTGACCATTAAAAAAGAAGTAGGTATTTTAAAATATACCGAAAAATAAAAGAGTGGCATTTATTTTAAGACTTCAGTATTGATTATTTTTTTTATTGGCATAATGCTAAGCCATAGTATTGAATACTCGGGGGTAGGACCATCCTACTAGAAGTTTAGGTTTCGAGAAATTGCTTCAATTTATAAAGGAGAAGTATTGAATACTCGGGAGGTACCTGCTAGAAAGTTGGTTTCAAGAAATTGCTTCAAATTATTAACTTTAAAGTTTTTAATAATTTAAAAAAGTTCAAGATTTTTTTTTATGGGATCCAAAAAAAATTATGTTGAATTAATTGCCTCTTTTGTCCGGACCCAAAAAAATAAAAAAATAACCATTAAAAAAATATCTATTTTGTCATGAAAAATATAAATCTCAAAAAAAAATATTTATTGAAAAAATTATATCTTTTGTCAAGATCCCAAAACAAAACAAAACAAAAAGTACCAAAAGAAGAGGATATAAAAAAATTATCTATGTTGAATAAATGAATAAATTATCTCTTTTAATAAGAACCCCCAACCTCAGAAAAAAGGGAGTTATTTTTATCGAATATATTATTTCTTTTGACGTGCCCATAAAAATTTACCAAAAAAAAAATTGTTACCTCTTTTGTCATGAATGAAAAAAGTTAACTTTGTTGAATAAATATCTCTTCATATTGTACGGAAAAAAAATTTAAAAAAAATAATAAATAAATAAATAAAATCACTATGAAATAAATTATCTCTTTTGATCGTCAAAAATAAAAATTTTAGTATGAAATAAATTATTTTCTTTGAGAGGAATTCGAAATGAAAAGGAAGAAAAAATAGTAAAGAAAATAAAGAAAGAAGTTAAAGTTGTATAAAGGGTAGTTATGACATTATACATTAGGGGATGGTGCATTAATGAATTCAATGACCTTCTTGTGCAATTGAAGAAAAGTGAAGTAATCCTCCCTATAAATATATAGAATACTCCTATATAAATCATAATTTATTATATATATATATATATACTCGTATATATTTTCATGCACCACTTTGGCCCCTAATTATAAGTTTCTGGGTCGCCCCTGGCTATGGACTAGCATTTGAAAGATGACAAATAAATTGCCATGAGCCCCCACAATGCTGTCTTAATACCAATAGGAGGCCTTGGCAAGTACCAACCAAGAAGGAAGCCTAGTATTCACCAAAACAAACAAACTCACACCCGTCTCTTCTCAACCTCCTACCAACCATAAAAGTTCATAAATAACATATTTAAGACTACCTTTCAAACTCTCTCTACTATAATTCACCTATTACATTCGGCAAGATCAATAGGGGGAACGATTTACCTACATCTAAGGGGGGTATTCTATATCAAAGTAGATTGTGGATTCTTGCTTCCCAATAAATGAAATCTAAGGTAATCAAACCTCGCGCATCGATCAAATGAAAATGAACCAACCGGCGAGAAAATGAAATTGGAAGAGTTTGCACAACCTGAGGAGGCATTTATTTACATAGATCCACTTAATCTTATGTTTCTCTTATATCATATTTATGTTTGAGGAATGTTTTAGCACAATGGTAAAAGAATAATTAGTTAGTTATTAGTTAGCATAATTTTTAAAATAAGGGGTGAAAGTGTTACGCAAAGTATACGTTAAGAGTGTTTTAGGAATGATAAAGAGTGCACTTTTGGGCGGGCGCCCCCCCCGGGGCTCCCGTTTATATGTTTTAATAATTTACACACTGAAACGGGCACTGGGCGGGGTGACCTCCCCACTCTCCCGCACTGAACCCGCGTAGGGTTTTACTACTAAATCTCATTCCCATCCAAATAATTTAAACGATATTCCAAAACCTGTTTAAACGGGACGAGTACCGCGGGGCAAATTGCCATCTCTAGGTGTTTTATGTACTTGACCCATTATATGTATGTCAAAAATAGACATAATTATGTATGAATGAAATATGAAATATTTTTTTTGTTTATAGATCAGATTATCTAACTTTTTTTCATAATAAAAATATATAGAATAGTCCTATATATATATATATATATATATATATATATATATATATATATATATATATATAATTTTTTTTGTTTCATGCACCACTTTGGCCCCCAATTATAAGTTTCTTGGTCGGCCTGGTTATGGAATAGTATTTGAAAGATGACAAATAAATTGGACATCAAATCTTCATAACTAAGATTTGGATCTTAACGAAAAAATCATTTAAAATTTTCATAATTTACTATTTTTACAACTTGTGAAAGTGCCACGAGCCCCCACAATGCTGGTCCTGGCAATAATACCAATAGGAGGCCTCGGCAAGTACCAAGTACCAACCAAGAAGGAAGCTTAGCATTAATCAGCTACAAGTTGATCCAATTGGATGATAATAATTTGACCAAAACAAACTAACTCACACTCTTTTCTTCTCAACCTCCTACCTACCACAAAAGTTCATAAATAACATATTTAAGACTACCTTTCAAACTCTCTACTATAGACCTAGTTAAAGTGTGCATTATTAATATTAATGCACCTATTACATAAATTTTATATTTCTCTTATATCGTATTTATGTTTGAGGGATGTTTTAGCACAACGTTAAAAGAACAAGTTAGCTATTAATTAGCATAATTTTTTAAATAGGGTGGTGAAAGTGTTACACAAAGTGTACATGAAGACTGTTTTTAAGAATGGTAAAGGGTGCGCTTTTGGGTGGGTGAACCCACCCCGCCCCCGCTCCCGTTTAGAAGTCTCCGCCCTGTCCCCGTTTAAACGGGATACTCTTCCACCTCATCCCTGCCCCTGTTTAACTTTCATCACCCACAAGCACCATAAAATGATAATCAATAGTTTAACATAAAATTTAAAATTACAAATATTTCATAATGACGAATGTACCAACAGACCAAAACTAAACTAGCCAAATTACATTGTTTGAAACCAAAATTTAAAAGTTTTAATAATTTACACACCTAAACGGGCGTTGGGCGGGGTGACCTCCCCACTCCCCCGCACTAAACCCGTGCGGGTTTTGCTATTAAATCCCATCTTGGCCCAAATAATTTAAATGGTCCTCCAAAACCGGTTTAAACGGGATGAGTACTGTTGGACATATTGTCATCCTTAGGTGTTTTATGTACTTGACTCATTATATGTATGTCAAAAATAGACATAATTATGCATGAATGAAATATGAAATATTTTTTTTGTTTATAGATTAGATTATCTAACTTTTTTTCATATTAAAAAAATATAGAATAGTCCAATATGAATACTAATATACTATAATTTATTATATATATATATATATATATATATAATTTTTTTTGTTTCATGCACCACTTTGGCCCCCAATTATAAGTTTCTTGGTCGGCTTGGTTATGGAATAGTATTTGAAAGATGACAAATAAATTGGACATCAAATCTTCACAACTAAGATTTGGATCTTAACGAAAAAATCTTTTAAAATTTTCATAATTTACTATTTTTACAACTTGTGAAAGTGCCATGAGCCCCCCACAATGCTGGCCTTGGCAATAATACCAATAGGAGGCCTTGGCAAGTACCAACCAAGAAGGAAGGTTAGCATTAATCAGCTACAAGTTGATCCAAGTGGTGATGATAATGATTTGACCATAACAACCATAAAAGTTCATAAATAATATATTTAAGACTACCTTTCAAACTCTCTCTACTATAGATCTAGTTAAAGTGTGCATTATTAATTAACCTATTAGATTAATCTTATGTTTCTCCTCTCCTTTTTAAATAAAATTAAGACTTTAAGTTTTAAAAATTTTTAAGAGACTCAAGAATTAAGAATGTTAAAATGATAAATTACATAAGAAAATTTAAAAGTATCTCCCCTAAGTAATCACCTTTAGAAGCGCGCGCACGTATATAATAACATATAAATATATGAACTTTTTAGGTGCTCCTATTTTGATTAAATTTTAAATTTGATGGCTTTTTCAATCACTCGTTATTTTTATATTTCATAATGTCCTATTTAAACTCTTAAAATAGAATATTAAATGTTTCCTCTGTAACAAAAGTGATGTGCGAGTTGTCTCTTTATGACGAAAAGATGTCCTTTTGATATATGGTTGTAACGTGTAAAGAAAAACTTAGATTAGTAACTCACAAAAAAGGTATATTCAACTATTAGTGTGAATGCGTCACATCATAAATTGGACTCAATTAAGTTTTTCTTGTATCTTGGATGATTATTTTCTAAAAAATGCTTTAAACATCAAAATAGATTGATGGTAACATTGTGCAATGCCAAAGAAAATGCCTCCTCAGATTCTTAAAATTTAATTGAAAGTTGAAACTCAAACACAATTGTTCCATATTTTTGTTTTTATAACTTTTTGCATATTACTTCGTAATTGTCAAAATGAATTTTTTTATAGTACCTAGGTGTGTGTGTGTATATATATATATATGTTTTAAGATAAGTCTTAGAATATGTCTTGTAATTTATGGTATCTTCTGTACACACACACACCTAGCCATTGAATAAAAAATAAAAAATAACTTTGAACTATATCATAAGTTCTAATCAAATAATCGTATCAAATTATATTTATTAAGTTATTTTCACTTGAAAAATCATTTCATCCTTTTAGCCATTGAATTATGCTTGCATAATGTACGGGTTCACGTGTCACATACATGGCGTAACTTCTTACAAATAGGTGGGTTTCCGGTCACATACGTAACCTCTTACAAATAGGTTGACTGTGACAAAAAAAATAAAAAAAGAGATTTTCTTACCGAACTATAGGGATGTAAAAAAGAAAGAATTTTTTTTTTCCATTTTTTATGTGTGGTGAGATGAAAACTTGATAGATGTTCACGGGTGTATTTTTTACTACCATTTTTTTCTCTGATAAATTTAAGAATTTGGGATTGTATAATGAAGTTTCTGCGGTCCATTATGCTTTCGTTGTTTCTAGATTTTCTTTTTCTTTATTTTATTATTTGTTATTCAATTTATTTTTTCATGTCAATAAATTGTTCTGTTTGTTACATTATATACTTTACCATTAGTCACAACTTTCGTTTTGTGTGTAATTTAAATTAAATATTGACATATGAAATAAATTTTAATGGGATTTATATTTACTAGATCATGTATTTCAATCTTGAATTTTTTTTATATAATAACTAGAACAATATCAACCTGACTTTGATTACATCACTTCTTTGGCAATTAATTTTTAATTGTTTTTGAGTAGATCTTCATGAACATGTCAACCTAAACAAGTTCACACCCCCATTGCCCATGTAATATACAAATTATGTGTTTATATATATATATATATATATATATATATAAAATCTTTTAACATAATCATTAAGACTTGATGCTTAGATATGTATACAACATGTCACAGTTGACTACATTAAAAGACACATATGTATATAATTATGTAACTATAGTTAAAGTTATTTTATATTATATTCTATTAAATTTTTTTAAATTCACTTTTTTTTAATAAAATAATTTAAATATAACTGAATAAAATAATTTCATTATCGAACCAATGCGAACATAAACGGTAAGCCCAGTGATGATGGTAAAAGCCCCCAGGGCTGTCACGATATTTGTGGGGCCCCAAGCTACAATGATTCTACCATTGGGCTTTGTCACGTAGCATAAAAAGACTGTCCTCAACGTGCTTGGAAAAATAAAGTCCTGTTGATATCACGCTTTCACACTATATACATTGATGGTGACGTATCCTTTATTTCCACAATCAAACCCCCCCCTCTCTCTCTCTCTCTATATATATATATATATCATATATATCATATATGTATATATCATAGTCATGAAATTGCTTGAAAGTTTCCATGTGGTATGTACTGTATTAGTCTTCGCCTCACACACACACACATACACACAGAAAAGTAGCAACTACCTGGACTATTCTATATTTTTTCAAGGAAGGATCCGATGGATTTTGACGTGTCTTTAATGAGTACATTTCATAGTACAGATGGATTTGAATTTTCGGTGGATTTGTGTGTGGATTAATTATCCACTAATTACATGATCTTCTAGATAAAGTGAAAACTATCAAGTTAAAAAGCATTCAAAAATTTATTTTAATTTTAGAAGATAATCACAAATTCAACCACCTTCTATGATTGTGCTATATTTCTTCCACATACAGTTGCAAGTGGATTGCATAATTGGACACGAGACTGCTCAAAACATGTGTTGGTCACATACAATAAATTTCCAAATAAAAATACACTTTTTAAAATTTCCTTTTTTATCACTTTATCATTTGAATTTTTATTTTTCAATGAATGTCTAGAAGAAATATTTTTTCCAATTGGCCCCATTTTTTAAATTTTTTTTTTTATTATATAGCTACTGATTTTCATTTTTTTTGTATAATATACTTATAAAATTTTAAAATTGCTCTAATAAAAATTACAAAAAAATTTCACTATTGCTTCCACGCTATCTTTTGTCATATTGTTGTTAAAGGTTGTCCTCGTTACATAATTTTCTAAGTTTATCCCTATTAGATAATATCATTTTTTTTTTCCCCAAAAAAATGTTTGTTCCAATCTCGATAGGAGTATATTATGTGGGGGGAAGAAAATATTTTCAACTGTCGGCCAATATTTTCAATTTGGTTAGTATTGCTCTACCAAGAATCCAATCTTATTCATGATTCATGAATAAAGGATTTGGTACAAAAGTACACACAATTGTACAAATATAGCTGCATCCTTGTTTTTTTTGCGTATTTGTAACTTTTGTTGTGCATGTCAAATATTTGTAATAGTTTTCCACAAAAATGGTGACACATGGATTTGGATTATTACCTCTTGGGCCTGAATTGATTAATGAAAAGCAAAGGACCTTTTTTCTATGCGTGTCCTCTTTGACAGCTAGTGTGACAATTTCTTGGACCACACAACATGCAATGTTACTAGCTTTTCTTAGTTCTGAATTAATTTCGTCTTTTGCATTTATAGTACATCGCATTTCATTGTTGCAATTACATTCTTACCCACCAATTTGAGTATCTTTAATGACATGGTACATGGTATGATAATTTACTAGGATGCCTATGTTGGACATGTCAATTTTATGAACTCTCTAGCCAACATTGCTTGGTAAATTACTTAGAAAAATAAATATTTTGTTTTTTCTTTTGTTTTTTGTCTACACGTGGAAAAAGGTGCTCTCACATCGATATCAGTAGTTAAAAAAATAAAAATAAAAAAGTGAAATGGGTCCTCTAATTAACCTCCTTGACGGGTCTATGTAACGATCACGGCACTAACCTATGGTTTTATTTTGGCCCCCATCACCGACCCAAGTTTGTCTATAGCAACTAGCTTCTGTCCTAGGGTTTATTTGCCGGTGGGCGCTTAAATACGGGACATTTCGTGGTCCAAATTTAACAACGGCGTTGATGTCATTTTGTGCGTAGAAATTTATGATTTTAAATGATGAAGTTTCACGAGTAAAGATTAGTGAAATTTTACAATCATAATGATAATATTTTAAAATAAATGGAGATGAATTGTGCATGATATACTACCACGAAGAAATAAAAATAAAAAATAATTTTTTTTAATATATATATATATATATATTGTGACAGCCGAAGAATTTTGATTATTTGATGGAGAGTTTCTGAGTTTGTTATTGAAAAATTGGAGGTGTAATAAAGGGTCTTTATTTTGAAAGAATGTGTGAGTAAATAAGTTATAGTACTTGGTACTGAAATGCTGTCTAATTAATTACCAAATTTTTTTTTGCGTATAACCACTATTAATTCAATTCAGTAAATTGTGGGTCTCGAAAATCTGGTGTTGTAATACAAATTATTATTAACACAAAAAGAAGTTCGTAGTTTAGTAATGTTTTTTTGCTTTATAAATTTTTAAAGTAGAAGATGAAGAGTTTAAATAATCGTAAACACTATAATTGAGTGAGTACAATGAGAATAATAATAATAATAATAATAATAATAATAGTTAAATCAAAACATGAAAGAGGTTTGTTCTGGGCGAGATTAATTTGTGCATCAACTAATTTAATAATGTTACAAATAAGGTGTAACATGTTCTGCAATGGTCACCAGAAACAATATAAGGGTCTTGGTCCTTTCCATACACATAAAGTGACATAATATCTAATATATTTTCTAGGATGTCTAAAATAATCCAATCATAAAACAAAGTCATTGATCCAAAGGTTGGGATTATCTCATCATTTTCTATATCCACATTGTACCAACCATATAAGGTGGGGTCTTTCTCGTTGTTCAATCCCATACACTTTATATTCTAAAACAAAATCCAAGTGCATTGCAGTATTGCGGTTACATACACAGACAAATCAAGAAAAGTTTACATTTATTTTTGACACACTCATTTTCTACAGTTCTAGTACTAGTTTTTCTTCTCTATTAAGAAACAACAACATTCTTTTTTACATCAAAATTAGAAACAAACTAACAAAAAGTACACAAATCAAAAATCAACCAAAATATCATCAAAATTAACAGACTCTAGATTATTCATATCAATGTCCAAACTGTGATAGCTCGCGGTGCACGAGTAGACATCGCCAAGATCAGACGCTGATGACAACCCTGGCATGGGCCCGGACGATTCCAATGTCGTCAGATCTGAAGAGAGTAGGTAATGATCAGACGGTGGTGATTGGTTGTGGTTCAAACTTGACATCTCTTCCTTTATGCTAGTACGTTCCTGTTTTATCAATGGAAAGGAAGTGAAAATTGAATCATTTGGCTTGGTGTTATGGTTGTCGTTTGATCCAAAGCTAACCAGAATTGAGGTGTCCCTAATAGTAGAATCCAAGATGATCTGAGGAGGTTTTAGTAAATTCTTGCAAGTGTGATGGCCACTGTATGTCGTCCGATACATCTGCGGTTCATCTTCCGTCAATTGAACCTGTTTGGTTGCTTGGCACCCTTGATCAAATTTGTGTGTGCACCTGTAGTAATTCCTGCACACCAAAATTAAATTAAATTTAGTTTTTTTTTTTTTTTTTCCAAATAATTAACATACATGTATATAAAACAAATATATATAGATGATATATACTGTAATAGTGTTTGGTTATTAAGCTTTTTACTACTGAAAAAAAAAAAAAAATTTACCTTGGGTGTTTGGCGTTGAGGATTACTTTCTGTCCATACTTCCTCCATGCATAGCCATCATCAACGGAAGTTGGGGCAAGTATTGTCTTTGTCTGTGAAGTCCTTCTGCATGAGAGAAACACAACCATTCGTTAACAACCTAATTTATACCATAAATGAAAGCCCAGCAAACATCATACACACACACACACAAACACATAGACACACAGGGAAGTAGACAAGGGAGTTATACATAGAAATTTCAAAAGTGAGTTTTAGCACTCATCAGCAATCAATTGATTCGAATGAATATACATGAAAGTTAGAAAAGTGATTGTAGCACTATTCATCAATCATTTCATTTGAATTGGAGAAAAAAAAATCATTTCATTTGAATAAATTAATTATACATGTGGCAAAAATAGAAAAAAAGAAAAGAAAAGAAAAGAAAAAAGAAAAAAATCAATAATACATACAGAAAAAGGTAATTTGTCCTGTGATGGTGCAGGTCAAAAATGTAAATTTTAGGATTATTCCAGCGTTTAAATGTCATTCAAGTGTAAAGATCCAATCATTGTTTATGAATGATTGGAGCTACCAGGCAGATACTAGAGATATCATTCACATGAAATTACAAAATCATCCCCAATTGCAAGTAATTAAATTAATTGAAATAGCCCCAAAAAAAAAAAAAATTTATGTTATCATAAAAATATATACTATGATAAATCAAAAGAAATAACATGTTCACCTTCTCTTGTAACATCCTCTCCGATCTTTTGCCGCAGAAGTCTTGCTGCTCTCGCCGGAATCTTCCGACTTCCGGCCATCCCAACAAGGCGAGCCCACGTGGTTATTCGAGGGAATTTGGGAAACCTCATCGGACGCACTATAATTCAATATCGAAAGCGTCTCGGTGAGAGATCCCAGTATTTTTCGGACGAGCTCCTTGGCCGGCGGCAATGACCCATCATCACTAAAGGGTTTGCTGAGCATGAGACGAAGCTGGTTGGCGAATTCGCGGCCACGAGTAAGATTTTCGATCGCCATTTTCCGATCTGCCGGAAAGTTTTCAGGCCAAGAGGAGTCCATAGTGTTCACCCTTTTAGCTCTCTACGAGCCCAAGTGAGAAAATGTGGAGCTTTTTATGTAAGAAAAAAGAGGGCTTAGTAATGTAAAACTGGAACATGCTAGGAAAATTAGAGGAAGCTTGCTAGGAAAATTCCTCAACCCCCAAGAATTATAATCCACACGCACCACCTAGCGCGTGAAGCGTTTCTATGACTTTATTCAACCATTAGTGGAGCCAATTCACTAATTCAGGTTAGGTTCATGAACCTAGTACAATGAGGACCACAATGGATGTGAACGAGAGAGGCTTTGGTGTTTGTGAGGAATGAGCAAGTGACGATAGTGTATTCACGCGCTATACAAGCGAGTGCGCATTGTCTTTGACGTAGAATATGACGTTTGCGGTTGATGTCATTCACATGGCGTCACCATCATGCCCTACTGGCACCGATAATATAATATTACAATTGGAAATTAAAATATAAAAGTTTTCAAGCTGAATTTCTTCTTTCCTTATCCTAAGTGACAAACCTAGTTGAATAGTGATATGGCTGAAATGACCCTGTCGTGTCAGTGCTTTGACAAGGAATCACTGTAATTAGCCACGAATGGAGGGGTATTTTGATTTTCAAAATATGACAACGTTTTTGGTAGTTGTATCTGCAATGCCCTTTCTTGAAGAAAATTAAGAAAATATATAAAATGCAGATTGGTTTTATTTCTTGAGTAAAATGTTTAAATATATTCATTTTTGACTAAAAAAAATACATATTTGTCATTGAACTCTATTTATTAGAATTACGATAAAAAATGATCAACTTTTGTATCATTACTTTAAAAATATTACGATAAGAATGTAACTTGTTGTATGGGGTATTAATTAATATGGTGTTGTCAAGTTTATGCAATATATGTAATACTATTATACTATATAAGGACGAGATAATAGAAAAAACATTGGCAGTTTTTAAGTTTTACTCAATTTGGTAACAAATTATGATAAATGAAGGAAAAAAATTGTCTGTGGTCCATGGTGCTTCAATCCTTATTATATAGTACAACGTTCATGCAAAAAAGAAAACACTCCGTTAAAATAAATAAATAAATAAATAAAAGAAAAGATTTCATGTGATAGTAGCTAGGAACAGTTTCATGCTTTAAAGTCACCAAGGAGATGGTCAGTAGAATCAAATTAATGGAATTGAATACCTTTAGAACAGGTGACAAGTATATATGCATATATATGTATGTAATACGACACAATCACATTAATTACCAAGTTAGGAAGTAACCTAATTATTCAGAAGGAAAAAAAAAAACCGAATTCCTTAGAGACAATCTTACAAGTTAGGTTATATTATCAAATCTTATAATATGAAAAGGGAAAGGGGTCAAGTGTAGAAAACATCTTTATATTATGTTTATAGTGTATATTGCACTTTTAGTGCGTGAAAAATATTGTAAATGTATCAAATTTGTACAAATAAGTCCTACCGACATATTTAAAGTAGAATTAGACTAAAATGTCCTTACTTTGACATTTTATAAAAAATATTAAAAAAAACATTATTTGACAAAATAACTGAAAAGACTTTGTGCAACCAATCCCCAATGAGGTAATATGTTACTAATTTGGATGCAGACGTGACTTCAAAAATAAATATACGGACACTAATTAATAACTCCTTAAAATATGTTATTAATTTCTTATGTATGGCGTAGTAAAATATCAAGCCATAAATGGTTGAAAGATTATTTTTCATAACCTAAAATTTTTTGGGTATCTTTGCAGTACCTATAAATAAATATTACGCCTCATTCAATAGGAGGAAGTAATTATATAAAAAAAAAAATGATAAATATTTAATTCACGGGCTATTTTTTTATTTTTTTCTCCTGGAGTATCCAATAGTTTTTTTCCTCTAAAGGGTTGAATTTTTCTAATAAACGCTATTCAAGTATTGTGCTTGACCAAGTGGCTTCAAAATAACAGCCAAAACTGTTTCTAAGTGTCGTTGTATTTATTTAACAAAACACAATAGTTTAAAAACACATTTTTTTTTCCCTTTCTAAGAAACAATATTTTTTAAAATAAAACATTAATTATATTATAGTAAGTCTTAGTTTTTCAAATATATAGTATATGTATACACAAGTTAATGGTGAAACTCCCAAAATATCTCCTTTATGTTTTCAATTATATATATTGCAGGCATAAATATTAATTGTCAATTCCAAAATTTTGTTCCTCCCCCATTTTGTCTTTCCTTTGGAAAAACAGTTGCCACCCCTTGACTTGGAGCAGTTATTGAATACCCCGGGGTATGATACCCGGGATAGTGAGGGCCATTGGATTATGGATGTGGTAGGGCCCACCACCACATCCAAGGGTTGCTATGCCCCTGGGTATTCAATAATTTTCCCTTCACTAAGGACTAGTAGCATGCCAATACCTTTATCTGTATGTGAGATAAATATGAACAAAAAAAAGCAAAAAGAGAGAAAGGGATTGTGTTCACACCTGTGTTGTAAATTTCAAGAAGTCCCAATAGTAGAATATTAGAGTGTTCACACTTGACGTTAATTTTCTCTGGGAGTTAACGAAGAAATTTGGTATTGTATAATTAAACTAATAAAGAGTGCACATGTTATATAGATATACTCGTATTAAATACACACTACCATTCTCAAACTGCATCTTATAGTCTAATTCTTTTAAGACATGCTCATTGTGGCGTAACCCTGAGTTGAAAATTCAAAATTTTACAAAATTTTGGCCTTACTTAATTTGTAATTCTAATAACAGTTTTATATTCTTAAAAAATTGAAAATCAGTTATAAAAAAGTCCCATCATAAATTTGATTAGCATAAATTTTTTTTGAAAAAAGTTGTGACAAAATATTATTTTGTTAATTTGGAGAGCATGAGAAAGAAAATAAAATGATTTTACTTACCGAAAATACCGTTAAATGAATATTATTTATACTTAATTATTTATTTTGCCAAAAAAATAATAAAATGTGGAATAGAATAATATGATATCATAATACAATTTTTTGCATTCTCCTCTCTTCTTATGTTAGTTTTATTTTTTATTATTTATTTATAAATGATGTAATTGGATATTATATATCTAATTACAACTTTCTCGATTGTGAAAATTAAAAGTGATGGAGTGACTTTTAACTTTCTCAAAATAATATTTGATGTTAGGTATGAAACGAATTGTGTTAACTTTATCTGCTTATGTTAGTTTTTTTTTATTATTTTATTTATAAATGATGTAATTGGATATTTTATATCTAATTACAACTTTCTCGATTGAGAAAATTAAGAGTCATGGACTGACTTTTAACTTTCTCAAAATTATATTTGATGTTAGGTATGAAACGAATTGTGTTAACTTTCTCTTCTTATGTTAGTTTTATTTTTATTTTTTATTATTTATTTATAAATGATGTAATTAGATATTATATATCTAATTACAACTTTCTCAGTTGAGAAAATTTAAAGTCATGGACTGACTTTTAACTTTCTCAAAATAATATTTGATGTTAGGTATGAAACGAATTGTGTTAAGAGTACACGAGTTTCACCAAACACTCTTTCTATCAACAAAATGTTATGTATATATATTATAACTCTTAATCATTATCAATTATATATATATATATATATATCTTACTGATTTATGACTTTTCGAAAAAAGATTGAAAAATAATAATTCAATAATGAAAGGAAAAAATAAATTGATTTTTGGATGCAAACATCAAAATACAAACAATTAAATTAGTAATACATTATTGTATAAATACCCAATTTACAGAAGAAAGAAACTCTCTTTTTCAATAATGTTCGTATAATTAAATGAAGGTAAGAAAGACAACTAACATGGGTATAATAAAAAAATAATATATAAAGTGCACAACTTTTGTGAAAAAGTGAATTTCCGTGTATTTATGCACGTAAATTTTTGAAAAAGTTTTTCAGATGTGAGAATCCTACTTTCCCTCCAACCAAACTTTCAAAAAGTTTAAATATTTTCTTTTTTTTCTCTTTTCTGGTTACTTGACGCTAACCAAACGGACCTTGAATGTTTTCCATCTATTTTGAGAGGTAGAGAATAAAACATTAGGCCACAATGCGGCAAATGATTGATATATCATGTGGATGCCTAATTTGTTTGGTTTATCACCATTTGCACTCGACTTTCGTTGAAGTCCAAGGCTCAATTATTATTTTTTCACTAATATATTTATATCTTAGAGAGATGTTTATGAGAGATTAGGTAATAGAATTTTTATTTTTTATGTTTTATGTTTTTCCAACAGAAATGTTCATTGGGGACTTGTAGATATATTTATGGATCAATCAAGATTTATGCTACAGGCCCATTTCCAGAATTTAATATGAATTGTGTCAATTTTATGGATCCTTGGTTGTACTAATGGTGTTGTTGACTTACATCTAAAGTTTCATATGAGACGACAAGCATGTTCATGCTACGCGTGACATGGCCAAAATCAAACTAACAATAATTGAATTGCGAATTATGATGTGCAAGTGCAAATAGAGTTCCGAGAGATGAATCCTGGAGTACCCAAAATCAAACTCACAATAAGTGCACAGTGACAGAATCACCACAAGAACAACGTGTGTGTATGCATCCGATAGCCCACAATGCACACAAATGCGTAAAGCTTATATGTGGGTGTGTCGTGCACTGCAATTGTGCAACAACATAATCAAGATCAGGACATCTTCAGTGTAAATAACACCCAACATCTCAAGGGACCCCGATCCCCTCCTTCACTTTTATTTCTTTGTCAATCGTCGCATTTTAAATAACATGTTATATAAGTGTTGTAGAATTGATTGTCGAAATTTTTATGGTCCTTTTTAACCGCCAGAAGCCAAACAATAGATTTTCTGGACTGAATTTGAAGTGTTCATTTTTAACCCAGCATGAGAGTTTTTTTGATTGGACCGCCCAACGAGCAAGACTCACAGTTATACCGTAATGTAACCTATTTTTAACAAAATATCATCGTTTAGAATCAAAACGAAACTTTTTCTGTTCTATAGAAAGCTTGTCG